ATATATATATATATATATATATAATTAGGTTTGCTGATAATAACAATAACAGTGCTCGAATAAGAGCGTTTTTTAACGTGCGCATGGGCTATAATGCACACGTGACCACGACGTCGTCTCATCCTAAAGACAGTGCGCTATATAAACCTTTACAATCATAATAAAACAATAATATATAGAAGTTGGCGTATGAGTGCTGATAATTATAGTAACATCAGCGATTTCCATTTCCATTAGCTATCTAATGTACTGGTAATACAGCTACAATGAATCGAATGAATCGTCAAACGACTCGTCGAACGTGGATCACAATACAGTAATTGTTTTTAGTCCTTAAAATCTATAATTTGTATCGATTGACTCAGTACGTACCGGGTACATGAGTGTATTTTGTAAAAACCGCTTCCACGTGCCACTGGTATCCGTTTAAATATTATCTGGCATATATTTATTTCATTATTAGGCCTAGATTGTTAGAGACCTATTAAACATAATAATAAAAATGATAACTAGAATAATGATAATAATAATGATAATATAAAAAATAACCTCATATAAAAAAATAGTACAGTAATATTAATGATGAAATGATGATCATAACAATGATGATGAGGATGATGGTGATAACAATAATGATGGTGATGATGATGATGATGATGATGATGATGATGATGATGACATACATTATGTTTTCAAACACAAACAAATACATTATTATTAAGTAAAGACAACAATACAAAAAAAAATCTCGCCTGTCAAGTTTTGTCTTCAAATAATGACAAATTAAATAGTGATTATGACGATGATAATGATGATTATTACGATGATAATTTTTCAGCTGTATTTATGTTTTGCCTTTAGAAACTGACATCTACCTCACTTGTGCATAATGGGCGAATGTTGCACTGCATGTGGATCTGGAATTGCTAAGATCATATTATTCGTGCTCAATTTAATTGTATGGGTAAGTATTATTCCACTGACTGTCCTGTCTAACATCATAGTCAAGCTGCCAGTCACATTCTCTGGATCTTGTGTTTTTTTTTTCTACATTTTCCAATGTCATAAATATTAAATTTTAAGCCACACCCCTTAGATATTGTTACTAATGTGTGGAACCTTTATCAGCGTAAACGTGTGGAAACTTTTGTGCTTGTGGGACATACGCGTAATCCTGGCTATTAGATAACTCATTTTGATTGGTCAGTTGTTAAGTTTTGATTGACAGTAGATCTACTACATATAGCTAGCCTATATTATATACGGGCACAGTAGGCTCATCTAGGGCCTATTTTATTTACTAGCTTTCATTCGTCTTTTTTTTTTTATAACACACAATTAACAGTAGCATATTAATTTCTGATAAAATAGACCTAGGAGTTCATTGTACGTTATTACTGAATTCAGTGCTTTCGAGGCTGGATTTGCTAAATGGCGGGGCCAGATGAGTGTGGGTTCAGGGAAAGGGGAGATATCTCTAATTCACCATAGAAACGAATTCATGTGCCATGGGCAAGACCGACGAACTAACCTCAGCCTAGGTGTACATAGTGAAACTAAAGTGTTGTCTCCCAGCACTGGTCACAATTAACTTCGAGCCCCGCATTTATCCTTTTGAAAATGTAGGCATGCTGAGTTCCATCCAGTGAATGGATTTGAAAGTACGTGGTCTTACTTCCATAATGCGCGGTTTTTTACTGAGCCTTGCATTTGTAGAGTATAAGCACGAGTTGTATACGTATGATAAAACCGCTTTAAGATTAGATTTAATGGACCGTTGACAATAAAATTGAAGCCTTTAGATTCCCAGGGGCATGCTCTAAATAAAAACTCATATGGTTGATTGATTTGATCAAAGATGGGGAATAAAGCATATTAATGAAAATCAGGATGTCAATGTCCGTTAGTAGGTCATGTAATTAATTGTCCTCAAAGCATGTAACTGTAACAAAATCATAGGTCTACATAATATATTTATCAATTTAAAATTCATATCAGCTCAGAGAAGCGGCCTTGGTATAGTTGCCACGGTGATTTAAAAAATGAATAAATATTAAATAGATATGAATATAAAATATTTAAGCAGATTAAAGGGCAAGATATTGGCTAGGCGTTCGTACGGATTTTTTTCTTTCCAAATGACGATTCCATCCCACCGACAATCAGCAGGCGGAGTTGCGTGGTTCTCGCAGGGAGTGGATGCGAATTTGTGGGCCGACTTGCATGACCATCAGCAAACGCGGTGCGTACCCTGCTTTAAGAATAAAACCCCAAATTTCAGTAGGCCTCGCCTAAATGTAATGGTTATAGTAGTGAATTTTTCGATTTGAGTACTCATATAGAGTGGAGATATATCCGTCGACGTAGTTCATTAACAATTTGTCTGGTGGATAAGGAAGCTAGCTAGTTCCATAAAAAAGATTTTGTGTGATCATTAACCGCGCCGACGACCGGCAGATACGCTGTTTTCGATTCGACCCGGGTATGGAATTACTGTCCGTTTAACCTCTTGTTATCCTAATGGCTACATCGTATGTGGCATTATATTAACAATATTCATAAAGGCTTCAAAATGATGATTAACAAAACACGTTTAAGCTTTAACTTTTCGTTGGTAGATCGAAGGCATAATGATTCTTAGAGAAGCGTTGTCTGGGTTTTGCTGGAAAGTTAAACATCCTCAGATGACCATAATAGCTGCGATACCATGCTTAGCTAGCTTCATGACGTACCTAGTTGTACATGCGAATGTCCACCACTACACGTGAAACTATCAAAATACTTAATCTTCATTACCATTAATTAGCCTACTTACTTTATAATAATTACCTGCTCGCTTTTTTTTATCAATAGAACTGCAGGACAATAAATACAATCTAGATCTTTTTATACCTCCTTGGTCAAGTCAAACAATGGTCAAACTAACTAATAGAATTCTGACGATGAAAGCATTTAGTTGCATACCGCCCCCACTCAGAGTACACAAACTCAGAATTTCATTCAATTCTGTTTTGCTATAAGTCAATGAATTCAAGTTTGTAATTCCTGGATTACGAAAAAGAGAAGCCAATTCTTGGGTCGTGTAAAAGTTACAATCAACACGTCAAAGGTGTACTAGCATGCTATTAAAGTCAGGCTGCGGAGGGAAAAAAATGTTCTGATATGTTGTAAAACTTATATTTCTACGACACAAAAAGCATAGCATATTTGACGAAATACTCGCGAGCGGTTAATGAGATACAGATTTTTGAATATTTAAAAACTGGGGGAAAAGGGAAATTCACCACCGTTTTTTCAACCTTTTCTTCCAGTTTTTAAATATTTAAACATTATATCTCATTTAAGAGTATGATGCACAATTATCATAATTTACAGTGGCGGATTCAAGGGGGGGGGGAGGTATGGTAAGAACCCCACTAAATCAAAATTTTTTTAAATGAAGATATAAAGAAAATTATTTTCAGATTTTAAGTCTGAGAATGCAGTTTTTTGCCATCTAGAGGTATCACAATCACATATTTTCTTACCTCAGCCCCAACCATTGTGGGTATAGATCTTCCATCTGTGAAAGTACCGTACCTCCCCGGGCCCCTCTATTTTGAATTCCTGGATCCGCCACTGATTTATTGTCAAGAAATTGCTAATTTTTGTTGTTGTTTTTTTAGATTGCAGGATGTACATTACTTGGGCTTGGTGCGTATATGTACATCAAGTCCGACGACTTCTCCTACATACTGGATTCTGACACAATTTATAACGTTGCCATTTTACTGATGGCTACAGGTGGATTCTTGTTCTTGGTTGGGTTGAGCGGCTGCTACGGAGCATGCGCAGAAAACGTTTGCTGTCTTATGTTGGTAAGTTCCCCAGCAAAGGTGAATAAAAGTAATATGCATAAGAACAATAATAATAATAATGAATAATAATAATAATAATAATAATAATAATAATAATAATAATAATAATAATAATAATAATAATAATAATAATCATGCTGATAAACATTTTTATGTTACTTTTATAATTTCAGTACTTTGGATTGATGTTTATTGTACTGATAATGCAGTTAGTAGGTGCTGTCCTGGCGTTTATATATCAAGATGACGTAAGTATATTTGTCCTCTTCTATCATTTTTTAATTATCATTTTTCATTACTATATTCATAAACATCGTCATCAACATCATCGTTATATTATCACTATTATTATATACTCATTGTTACTGCTGATATTATATATTAATCATTATTGTTATTAATGATATCATTTATTATTATTATTACAGTTAATTTTATTTATTATTAGTATTGATATTATTATCATCATTATCATGAAAGGTCAAATATATAGACTTACGATCCGCTAAAGAGCAACGAAAATAGCTTGAGATTCAAAGCGTCTTGGATTTTTTTTTATTAATTTCCAATGGATAAAATAATGTAAATGCCCCACTTGTCATTTTTATTTTTCAACCATCTTTAAAGAGGGTAACCCTTCCAGTTGAGCCCAGTAAGTTAACTGATATTCAGGGGCCCTGAATAAAATGAAAGAACAGTACAAACAACATCATTACAAAATAATAATAATAATAATAACAATAATAATAATAATAATAATAATAATAATAATAATAATAATAATAATAATAATAATAATAATAAGTAATAATAATAATAATAACATACAATCCTCATAACAAGTCTTAAAAATATTAAATTGACTTACATAATGACAATTCAAAATAGAAGTTTAATTTATAATGCCTATTAATATAATGTAATATAATATAGTATAATATAGAATAAATCAAACAACGTAATAATAAGAATCATGCCCCTTAATAAGTCGCTACTGTAGGCCTAGCATGCGGGTGCTTAACCAGAGTCAAGGTCATTGGTCTGTGGCCCAATTCCATCCATCTACACTTTAAGTTATGAAGACATGTAATTCCTTCTTATGTTTGATTCGGTAATGTCTTAGTGAACACTCTTATTAATACAGGCCTATTTACGCTCAAAAAGGCTACAGGCTCTAAGTAAAGCAGATCATTATTATAAAGAAATGAAAGTTTGACGATAGGTTTATAATATACCATCATCATAATGATCACCAGCAACAATCTAGTCGATCATATTCAAAATACACATTTACCATCAGACTACGTAAGCGTGGGTGGGAGTGGGGAACAGAGTTTGTAGTGTGGTATAAACTATAACCATATGTATTATCAGTTAAGGCCTATAATGGGCAGCATCATAAGACTGTCAAATGTACCCTAATTTTGACGTAAATTTGTGTATGGCTTTTTCTCTATTAGCTGAAGGCAGAGTTACAGGACACAATGTCGACAACAATTAAAGAGAAATATGGCAACACAAAAGAAGCAACAGACGCTATAGACTATGTTCAAGAAAATGTACGTATGTCAAATTATGGAGGAAGATGGTCAAATGATATTGATGAATATTATTATTATTCATATAGTATATTCATATTATATATATTCACATTGGGTCTTCAACTTCATTGTTATATTACATAGTAACAATATGCATTCAAATTGCAACTTTCCAAATCAAAGCAATTCTAGTATTCTATGTCTCAAGTCAGCATGAACTCAGTAAATCTGGCTGTTGAAATGTATGTACAAGATAGGGTAAAGTTCTCTTATCTACACATCTTTCCAGCACTATTTTTTATCATTTGCTCTCAATTCCCGTTCATTTTATTACCCATTTTTGTATATACAAATTTATATTTGTTTTAAAGTTTAAATGTTGTGGAGCCGAATCGTTCACAGAATGGTTGTTGGATTTTGAATCAATACCTACTTCCTGCTGTAAAGTCGAAAATTGCCTTCCAATACCTGGAACGGTGTATGAGAAGGTAAGTTTAAATTTCAATTGTATTTGTGACAAAAACATTATTATTGCAATTCATTTAAATACTAATAGATGCTTCAGTACATAAAAAGGTGTACTGATTTTTAGTTTTAGTATTAAGGTTGTTAGAAATGTATGATTTGGTGACTTATAACAATAGGTTTAAAAAATTGTGTTTACAATGCTACAAAACAACATAATAATATACTAATAGACATGTTAGTAGTCGATCTTGTTTTATTGTTAACCGCAATAGCCTTCACAGTATTTAAATCTGTTTTAACAAAAAAATATTGAAAACTTTTTAATATTTTCTCAATATTTAAAACTGTTTTTTAAAAGTGGCTAAATGAAGAACATGCCTCACAGAAATTAAATCTCTTAAAAAATAAATTATGCATATCGTGCTTCTCAGTATTGAAATCTTTAAATAAAATAATGCTTTATCTACAATATGCTTTTCATTTTTTAAATAAATGCTTTATCCACAACATGCTTTTCAATATTTAAATAAATGCTTTATCAACAATATGCTTTTAAATATTTAAACTTGTTTAAATGCTACAGTATTTAAACCGGTTTCGAAATAGTATCTTCATCAGGTAAATGACCTAATCTCAGATCACTTCGTCATCGGCCGATGTCATCCGATGACGTGCACCCTCTTTTGGTATTTGAGGTCTTTTTCTGTTCCATGGGTTGGTGTAGAAGGTCATCGTAAATATGTAATAGCTTGTAGGCTCCTTATCTCCATTTAACTCTAAACGAACACATGCAACACCGTCAAGCTCTAAACTGACAATGACCTGGATTGTGTGCAACCACCAAAAACCTGCAAACAAAAGTACATGTGTAAATTAACATAAGATTGAAGCACAATATTTTGTTACCAAATTCACACATAAAAGCTGTTTTACTAACATATATATTCAATATAATTATCGATTACTATTATTTTATGAGATATTTTATTAGATGTTGATTTATTAGTAAGATATTTGGAGATCAAAATATACACCTACCTCCTAAGTTTAATCATGGAAAAAATATTTATCGTCACAAAATTGAAATATGGCGTCTATGATGAGGCCTGTTGCCACATACAGACATCAAAATAATCTGGCAATTTCAAATATTAAACATGTTTAAATTGTACGACGCGACTGCTTCCAAGACAGTCTCATGACGGCTCATCGCATCAGTCTGAGTTTTAAGTTGTGAGAAAAACTATCGTTTGATAGGGTTTGAACCCAGGGCCCCGAGGCTAGAGGGCAGGTATATTAACAACCGACCTATAGCTTCACTTTACTTGGTATGATCAAAATTATTTTCAGTTCTGGCACGATTTTTTGGTGATTTTGTAGTTTTGTAATTAGGTCTAACAATAGTTGGGGGAATTGCTGCTGCTGCTGCTGGTGATGATGATGTTGATGTATGAGATAAATTATTGTCGAGACACACGTATTTATATATCAATACCTTGTCTGTTTTTTCTCTCTCTCAGGGCTGCGTTGAAGCTGTTGACGATTGGGGGAAGAAGAATTTATTGATTCTTGGCGGTTTATCACTTGGTCTGCTTGTCTTTGAGGTATGCAATATATCATTTTGAGCGCGACAGACATCAGATTTTAACGAAATGATGAGAATGAAGAGCCGATCCAGCGGGGTTCACCCCTCTCGCTTCCCGCCAAATTTGTTTGGTGGTGTGGAACATTCATCTGTAAAAGTTTCTTCCATGCCCTCTCTCCCTCTTCTATTCAGAATTCCAGGATTCACCACTTAACATGATACAAACATGCGCAATATTGGCATGCGTTGACAAATAATATTCGGTGTATCATTATTGTAATTAAGATGGCTGCTGCTCAAAAACTCTTGAACTCTCTTCCCATCAGATGGATATACGGGAATATCGCGAATTTGCTTCAGAAAATTCCCTTGTTTAAAGTTAAGCTTTAATCTCTCTCTCTCTCTCTCTCTTCTTATCCACCCAATTGTGGTATTGTTCATGTTTTTGTTGTTTCTTTCTTCATTTGTCACTTCTAATTTCCGTATCTTTCACTTTCATTCTTTTTGGACATTTTGTTCAAAGCGCATAAAGACTAGGCCTATTATACGCTATACAAGTTTACAACCACTACCAATACCAAAATTCCCATCGCGCGTTCAGGACACATGATACGAACACGTTATAGTGAATTATTAAATCTGTGTTAGTAGGCCTACTTTGTAATAAATCCATATAGGCCCAATCATCTGATGATACGTAGTCACCTGGTTTTTTTTTTTTTTTAATTTTTTATAATCGTGTGCCGGTTCCTAATTGTCTCAGTATTTTATTCTTTTTTTTTCCCTCAGCTTATTCCAATGTGTCTTGCATGCTGTCTGCGGAAGATGATCAAAGATGAATAATTGAATGCAGTTTGATGAACGACTTTTTGTTTATGTTCTAATTAAAGCACCTCGTTCATAAGTCATCCTTCAAATTTTGAAATCCTGTGAGTGGGAGCTGGTCTGGATACTAAATCACGGTCGCTTGCTTGTGGAGCGACAACTGTACGGAGCTTTCGATTCGATTTGCGCAACGATGTGAACATAGAACGGATTCACTCATTCGTCAACCTTCTGCGTTCTCTGCACAACGTGGATTCTGACCAATCAACATCCTAGAATCAACGTCGTCACATGTGCAAATGACTGCTACACTAATCAAAAGCTCCATACTGTTCACATCTGTAAACAAAAAATTGCATTTAATATGAGTTTTAGAGGCCACTCATTGTAATATTATTTAGCACATTTACACATTGTTCTTAATACTTTTAAAAATCTATTTATAAAGAATGGTGGGGGTGGGGGGCGTTTGGTGCAGCGGTTGCGGGTAGGTGTGCATTTTGCTTGTGTGCTTTGACAAGGCACTTTGCCTACTTTGCCTCTCTTCACCCAGGAGTATAATTGGGTACCTTGTGGAAATATACTACTTTTACCTTATTCATAAAGATTTGTTGGTGAAACTATTGTTAGAAAAAATATATTGTAAAGATATTTTTTATCAAGAAGTTAGATATTGGAATACTTTAATAGACAATGAAGGATTGACATGGAAACGAAGTGCAAAAATATGTTCGAATTACCCATTACGTATTTATATTCAGAATTATACCTCTACACATTCATCCTGCTTCTGTAAAAATGAAAAAAAAATATCCAAAAGGCCCACAGTTGCACGGTAAATAATTAGAACGAAATTTTGTAAAAACACACTTTTATTTATTGAGGCTGAAACTAGTGTCAAAAGTTCTATTTATGAAAGTTTTAATACATAGGTATATTTTCTGCTGTTGTTTGTAACTATAGGAATGTATAACTATAAAGAACTCTGCGTAAATTTGAGAGGAGGGATGGAGTAACTCTAATTTTTGGCGATACTGTAATATTTAAATGTGTTTTAATGCATGATACCTTATCCAGAGGCTGAAAATTGTATTTTTATTGTTTAATAAGCCAATTCGTAGTTTGAACTGCGCATGCCCGTATCAATATACACACAACATAGGTTTATGTCAGTTGACCTTTGATACAGGCATGCGCAGTTCAAACCACACATTGGCTTATTTAATATTGGAATTGCTTATTTGGTAAATTAAAGTATAGTTATTAGCTTTAATAGAAAGTAAGACGCCAATAATGATAATAAACTCATAAAACACTCCTATTCTGTGCACTTTAAATAATGGACCCCACCACTAGCTAAGGTCCTACAAATCGACAGCATTAAGCGTACATAAACACGTGTATTCTCGGCCATTTTCTGATTGGTCAGATGTTCAATTCGATTGGCCCGCTGGGGAAAGGTCTGTTGAATGATAGCCATAATAGGAAACTGAATAATTAATTTTGTTTCGATCATTGAAACTGATAATTTACTGGATGTTTTTTTAAGCAATTCAATACTGAAACTGAATTTTAGGGTGTTGTTTTTAGGTTTTATCACAAATAATATATCATAACAGAGTAAACTATCTTTCGTTTATGTCATAATACCGTACCTTTTTCTATCATAATAGTATTGTTCTTTCCTATGTGTTTGAAATGATTGACTTTCCCGCTGGTGTAAGTAAACCCAACAACAGACTGAATTGGCGGCTCGGGTCATGTGACTTATAGTGGGTATTATTTTTTTGTTTACATTTATCAAGATCGCGAGATGAACAGTGCATCAAATATGGCTTCGCCTTGTTGTTGATGTGGATAATGATCATCATATGACATACTGTACGTACTGGCATTAGGATGTACCATACCAACCATGGACCTATTTTATCACCAACCTGTTTCACAAGTTTGGTTGAACAACCAGTACCGTTAAGGGTTATTTTCTACTTTATTACCTACAGTACTCGACTACAGCTGTCTCTTATACACATCTAGATGTGTATAAGAGACAGATATATATACACTAACATATTTTAGACCTAGATTTATCCCACCTATTGTGTGACCTGATTTGGTGAAACCCAAGAGTTGTAGTAGTAGCGTTTTGCATAATCCCGGAGACTCGTGTGATACACAGTACTAAACTGGCCTGGAAATTTCATGATGACGATAAGAATGATGATTCTATCAACCTGTAATGGACCTTTCCGTAAAAACCCGCTCCATGGATATTATTGTAGTTATAAATACGTAAGCCTGTGTAAGTACGTATTTATGGGGCATGCGCCTACTTCTCCTGGCTATTAAATAATACATTTTGATTGGTCAGTTGTTAAGTTTGATGGATACACCCGGAGAGGTCCAATGGCGAGCGTAGGTCTACTTGCTGCTGGACTTAAAAATAGAAGAAACATAATCGTCTGACCTCCTGTATCTGGTTGTAGGCTTCACAAGACTTGAATGTTGATGATTTGGCAGTTTTAATCATTTTAAAAATATGTAATTACAAGTTTTAACGAGTTTTTTTATACTATTTATGTGATATAGATAGAATTTCAATATTATCGTTTGTATTTTAGAGCTTACTATTGTTATACCGTGAATTGTAATAAAGATGTGCTTGTAGACAAATGTAATAAAATATTCAAAATTAAAGATAAAAGTATTAACTTTCTCTAAAGAACACACAAAATGTTCGTCGGATGTCGATTGTTTTTGTAACCGTGGCGTATCTCGCCTCCAGTCGTTTCCCACCGTAATTGAAAATGTTCAAAGCAAAAAAAAGAAGAAAATCACGCTTTAAGTAGTTAAAAAACACCTTAGTTTGAGAGCCAGCGCCCCCACCGAATCCCTACTTCACCTACGCACATTGATTTTTGCGTGCTTCAAATACTAGTGTTGTATGTGCATGACGTAAAGTGCGAAATAAATTGCCTCCAATCGGATTTGAAATTCCAACGAAAGCCTCAGAGGCCCCTTGGATAAGGTGTCTGCATAGACAGCAGAAGGTCCCAGGCTCCAATCCAGGTTTGGCAAATTTTGTTCGCACTCGCAGATTCCTCTTCTTTACCGTTTAAAATTTATATATATTATAAAGCATTACCGCAAGAGGATTTAGAGGTCTCGTCTTGTTTAAGAAGAGTGCGTATCCATTGATCTCCGTTTATAACGTGTGTGCTTTAAATGCTAGTGTTGGATTGGCATGCCGTAGGGTGCGAAATAGATTGCTTCCAATCGGATTTGAACTTCCAAAGTCTCAATGGCCCAGTTGGTTGGCGTCTGCATAGACAGTAGAAAATTCATAATTCGCATCCAGGTTGGGGCATTTGTTTTCGCACTCGCAGATTTCTCTTCTTTACCGTTTAAAATTTATATAGGCCTATGCCACTGTAATTTCTTTTCTTTGATGATTTATATATAATTTAACAGTGTTTACGACTATCTTGATTTATATTAGGCATATATATATATACCGTATATATGCTAGTGTTGGATTGGCATGCCGTAGGGTGCGAAATAGATTGCTTCCAATCGGATTTGAACTTCCAAAGTCTCAATGGCCCAGTTGGTTGGCGTCTGCATAGACAGTAGAAAATTCCGAGTTCGCATCCAGGTTGGGGCATTTGTTTTCGCACTCGCAGATTTCTCTTCTTTACCGTTTAAAATTTATATAGGCCTATGCCACTGTAATTTCTTTTCTTTGATGATTTATATATAATTTAACAGTGTTTATAAATCACTTAGAAGTGTTCCAAAATTAAATTTTTAAATACTTATCAGTTTGGTTTGGTAAGGCTCCAATTGATAGTGGGAATAAAGCCTGGAAGTTTTTCAAAGAAAAATACGGTACCTTCGCGACGTGCATATTGCTCCAGTGAATCGTCCGCCGGTTGAGGTACTTTTTATATAGGCCTAAGTCAAGAATATTATTCATGGCAAATGCTATCACAGCATGAAACAAAAAATGAATCTACCCATTCGTTGCAATAAGAGCATTATTTTACATTTATTTTAAATCCAAAAATTATTGTAAATCATAGGATGTTTGCAGTTACTGCCGATGATAATGATCATCATTATGACATTATTATTACGTACCGGTACTGGTATATTAGGATGTACGGTACCATGCCAAACAGGTCTATTATCACTAGACTGTTTAACAAGTTTGGTTGAGCAATCAGTACCGTTAAGTGTTATTTTCTACTTTATTACCTACAGTACGGTACTCGACTACAGAGATATATAGTCGAGGCCTACAACTCCCTCCCAGCTCCGGGCCCTGGTCAAGGCTTACACTCACCAGTGCATAGTCCTACTAGGCCTCAGTGGCGGCTCTAGGATATATTTGCCGTTGGGGGGGGGCTAAGTTGTTCGATAGGCCGGGGGACTTGAGCTCGTAGGCTCGAGCTGGGAGAATAGTTGAGAGGGGGTTCAGACTCCCAAATGAGATTATTTAAAAGTTATCAACCTCTGGATGGCCGAAAATGGCACTTTCGGACTGTGACAGACATGTGTTGGCTTGGTGTGGGCTTATTTTTATGGTCTGACTGCCCGACGAGCTCTGTCCGGCGGGGGGATTGACCTGTCCGGTGCGGGGACTTAAGCCCCCTGCCCCCGCTGGCGCCGCCACTGCTAGGCTTATACCTGTATGTAGCCTATCGTACACAAGCGGCATTCCAGAGCCTAAATAAAATGCACTGAGATTGCCTAAGTAATTATATATCACTAGGCCCTTTAATAAAAACATAGGCCTACTGCCTTACTTTACCTTGGGTCGCTGTCTAAAAAAACATCATAACTTTCCCAATATACCGTAACTTTGTTCAATGAGCGCACTGTGGTTTACGATGTGGATGTTTACAAATAGTATCCACTATATGTCAATCGACCAGTAATAGCTGGAGTCGCCGATTTGGTCTATCGATAATAGTAATGGTATTTACCGTAACTTACCTATGCAAAGGATAAGCGCAATAGTTGTTGGTACACTTTTGCTTTTGTATAAGAACACATTTTATAAGAACACTAAGGTTGAAATTGCTTAAAAGTAAGACCAAATTGAGGCTGAGGTAAAATGTCAAATGAGGTTTTTAATTTTTTTTTTTTTTAAATAGGAAAACCAACAAATCGTATCTGTACCTTGGGAGCAGTAGGAGTACCCTCTATAATACAGTAGGACAGATTCAGAGATGTCCGAAAGTGGGGGGGGGTCGAAAGTGGGAAACGAAAGTGGGGGAGATCGAGATAAGACCACCCATGGGGTCAGGGGCTATGTCCCCGCTAAATTGTTTTCGAGAAGAAAAATAACCTCTGAGGCGTTTTGGACGATTTTTTTCTTCTTTTCTTTCCCTTTTTTTTTTTTTTTTGTTTTTCCAAATGGGGGGGGGGGGTGTACCCCCCTAAATCCACCCCTGTGTACAGTAACTGCTGTACAAATAATAATTTTTTATCTTTGAAAAGTGTGTAAAATAAGAACATTTTGAGCCTGAAATCGGCAAAAACAATAACACTGAGCCTCGATTAAATTTTACTGGTTCTTTTTTTAAATAGTGTAATGGCGAGAAAAATATTGTTTTGTTCTATAATTATTTCAATTTTTGTAACTGATGTGTGAATATGTTGATCTACACAAAAATTACTTTTACACAATAGTAATTTAACAGTTTAAAGCTTAAATCAACACAGACGGGAAGGGGTATTTCAAATGAGTATATAATCATAGATGACCTATGTTCATACCTCGTCATGTGTGCGGTAGATGATGCCGTGAATCAGACGATCTAACAGACGACTGATAAAATTGATACCATAATCCAAACATTTTGGCCATAGGGCGGGAGTAATAAACTTCCACATTATAACCCCCTCTTGTGTCAGAAATATGAAATGCCAATTACTAAACTTCACTTATCATCCAATTCGACCACTAAGGGCGCTAACTCACAAGTTAATGATCTTGAATTTTGTGACGGTAGGATCGGTGTCACACTCTTCAATTTTGGCGGGCACCTTTTGGATTACGTTAAAAAAGTTGAAACAACTTTAGTTATATTGTCGCCTGCTTCGCAGTTATTGTGATTTCTAACGGTTCTAACTGGTACCGGATTATTTTCAATACGGTATTTCGGAAGCAGCAGTTAACCAAAACCTACAAATCAGTCGGTAAGTAGACATACAGTGTCTGTCTGTGATTCGAGCAAGCATATCTGTGCACCCGTGGCTGAAACAGAACGCTTCGAAGCCATAGGTGTTCCAGTAAAGTAATTCGTCCCAGACGTCCGAATTTCGTTAAAAATAATTTTAGGACATAATCCATATAATCAATGTTGTAGACTAAAATCATTAATTTTTTATTCCACAATTATGGTTTCATCGCCTTAAATTTCGCACTGGCTTTCACTTTTTCAATTCATCTCTGGCGTTAAAAAAAAAAATCATGAGAGAATTGGCATGCTTCTTGGTCCAGCGTATTGTTTTACATTTCTAGTAGGCAACAATTAATTACAATTACAGATCTTATATATAACAATGTCTATTACTTATTCAATTGTAGTTAGGGCTTATATTTAATAAGTGTGTTATATTATTTTAGTTATCTCAAATAATAGCCAGTGCATGTGAATGAGGAAAATGTTCCAATCAATGCCTGACTAAGCCTATATCTTGTTTATATTTATCGCGAAATATATCTATGCAATGAAGAAATACCTGTAATTAATAATACTACTAACATTATTATTTCTTCATGGACTATGTTGATCGATATTGTTTAAAGTAATCGTTCCGGGTATATATAGAGCGCATATGCCTGATTGAAATGATGTAATAGATGTATAAATATCAATGTCTGTGTCAGGAAAATATCATATCACAGGAGTGATGTTTTGCCGTATACCTGATGTATTTCGTACCGAATACCCAGTAGGCCTACGTTCAATCAATACATGCGGGAAAAAAACTCGCAAGTGATTCGAGTGGGAATCAAACCCACAACGTCCAGGTAACTTTGTCTGGTGTTATATACACTAGACCACCGAGCTTGCGTTTGGTGACTCGGTGTTGAATCCGATCTCCAAATGTTCGTATCTATAAAACGCTAAAATTAAGGTGTACAAGTAGGATACGTCAATACATCACTAATATTGAGTTGGTTTTATTATTATGATACGGTACCCAGCTTTGTGAACGACATTAGATTGACCAAAATTCACCAGGCGTTGTTTGGGACATTAACTGTTATTAAGTAGTTCAAAAAGGAATTCAGTAGGGAGAGAGAAACATTACTATTGCAAGAAAATTCACCGCAGCCGCAGTGTATGCTCTATTTATAGAACCGAAGGTCACGGTCCCTTAGGCCTCAATGATGTGACCGAGTAGGCCTACCACATCACAAACTACAACACACGAAAGTTCACAATATGTAGGCCTACAAGTTGCCATACTGATACATAATCATCTTACAAACAAGCGTCTGGTTGATAAGAGGACTTTGTTTACCTCTGAATACGTACAATAATAATCTTGATAGGCTAATATACAAACTCATCTAGATGTGTATAAGAGACAGATGGTACATTATCTGATAGACTGTTTAGATAGCCACAATACTGTAGCGTTCATATTCAACCGTTAGTCTTTATTGTATTCTCTTACCCTCTGATTAAATTTTGTGTCCCATTAAATATTATGTAACTCCTTTAGTGCTTTTGAAATTTACGAGGGTATAACATGTTTGTTTAGTGTTACCAACACCTATTGGAAGATAAATACAATTACTGAAACTTCAACTTCAATTATTTCACTTGAATATATTATATTAACATGTGGCGTAACCAAAATAACAAAGCTTGTACACGCAGTTACAAATAATATTAACAAATAGAAAAAAATTGCAATAATGGATAGACCTGATGATTGACTGTAAAAGCAGGTTTAAAAACATTTTTCATGGATCAAGTGCATACCGTATCGTCTGCCAAGGGACTCATCTATTTTTGTGAGTTCTCTGTAGGCCTACACATTTTAAACATGTTCAGCATTAATTATTTTACCACTCTTTTGAAAATGCTGTAAAATATTTGGCGATCACACGCAACTGGACAATACGGCTTTAACAGAGCCATTTTTATACATTTTTTGTGGCAGGAATTATGTTTAGTAAAGATGCCAGCATTGTTTGAGCATCTGTGAGTCTCATAGCTAGTGCTGGTGAAAAGATACAATACCTAGATACCATTAAAAAAATTCTTCTTGTAGCTGTTTTTTTAGTTTTCTGACTGTCAACATGTACACAGTCAAGATTGTCATACCATGAAAGAATTAATTTATCCATGATCATATATCGTTGTTTGTTGTCAATGACGACCAAATGTTTCTTGAGGTATACTTTTTTTTTTTCAAAAGAATCATAAAATGTCTGAGGTTCGTTGAACCCACAACCATACGATCCGGGTACATGAATTAACATTGAATAAACTTTATTTTATATATTAAGACATTCCCTGAACTATAGAATTGATTTATAACCTACATAATACGCACATATGATTGTCATTATACTGCATTGTAAATCCAAGGTAATGTACATCTTAAAGCAATTACAGATCCACTTTTATCGTTTGCAGCTTTGGAGTTATCTCTATCTGGATTTGTGAACTACAAGTATGGCGTTTCGATCTTCGTTTGCTCGAGCAGCTTTGTTAGTCATCAACCTGTTTGTGTGGGTAAATACAATAAATGCGATCTATAGGTACAAAAAGTAAATCACAATAAAATAAACCCTAATAAAATAGACATTAATGTTATTAGTAAGTGTGCTAATAAAATAGACATTAATGTTATTAGTAAGTGTGCATGAGATAGTGGATCACATCATAACGTGTTGTGTTGCGGTAACTTTGTTTGGAATGGACGTATTCGGTGTAAAGTGACTAGGATAACCCACGAAACTCTGTAGAATTTCCAGTGGGGTCCTCCTGGTGGTGATTGTTTCAGTACACCGGGAGACAATTCCCTACTCTTTTCTAAAGAGTTTACTGCGTTCTTTAACGTAGACATGGCCCATTATGCACATATGCACACGGGACCCGGCTAACGGCTTAAATGTCTCATCCGAAAGATGGTACGCTATTGTAACTTGCATTTCAGCGCCCCAGCAGAAATACAAGAAAATAAGCGATGGGAATTGAACCGGGGACCAAGATATTTCAACTGTTCAACACACACACACAATGTCTACTACCAGTTTAGTCGACTGAGCTAATCTGCCCTTGCAATAATACCCAATACTGTTTAAGTTTGTAGCTTTTTTTCTTTGAACCAGAGTTCCATGTCCACAAGAAAATCATCACGACTCTTAGACTACTGTTTAAAATTGTAGTTTTAAATGTTTCTTACGGAATTACCTTCCAGAAATGAAATGGAATTTATATCATGATATAAATTATTCGCGTTGTCTCTCTACATCGGTAGGAAGACATTAATAATTATGTAATGTAAGTTGGGACTGGTTAATGCAGGTTAATGCATAAGCACAAACTATGCTGTAAAATTGTTGGATTCTTTCCGAATTATAATGATTATGATGATGATACTAATGACAATTATGATAACAATAAAATATTGATAACGGTGAAGATGATGGTGCCAATGCTGATGTTGGAAGACGTCAGATGATAGTGCTGATGCCGAAGGTGGTGATGTTATTTAATAATAGGGCCTAGGCCTAATAATAATAATAATAATAATAATAATAATAATAATAATAATAATAATAATAATAATAATAATAATAATAGGCCCATATAATAGTGACAATAACAATAATTATTATTATAGTAATAAAAAAAAATTAGGTTTATAAATAATGGTTTTGTCGCCTTTATTCCATAGCTGGGAGGTTTAGCCATTCTTGCCATAGGTGCCTGGATCGTTAGCGATCTTGCGGCTACCAACACCGAAGCCGTTGGTGAAAGTGCGATGTGGTCCATAGGTGTAGCTGCAATCGCATTAGGTTCCGTTGTTACAATTATTGGAATCAGTGGGTGCTGCGGAGCTTGGAAGGAGAGCGTATGCTGCCTAAAAATGGTAGGTCGAAAACTGTAGGTTTTTGCCATGCTGGGCTAGACCTACTTTCGCATGTAGTAATTATAATAAATATAATAGTAAATGCATGCATACCTTTCGGCTGTTTTGTTGTTAATTGTTCGAAATATTCGAACAATGGACTAAAAACATGAAAAAATAAAACACTTTTGTTAATTCTAGGATTTTTGTAGTAAAACGTCTGTAAATTAACATATTTATTAAAAAAAACTTAATCTCATTAAAAGAAAGGGAATAATTGTCTAATTTGTATATTTCAATACGTTATAGCTTGCCATCTTAAATTTGATTGAGACCAGTAGCGTATCTAAAAAAATATCGCTTCCCAGTCTATCCCCCAGTGAAAACGTTCGAAGCAAAAATATCACGCTCAAGTAAATAAAGATCGCCACATAGCAACTTATTGTGCGTGTTAGCTCGCACTCACTTAACTATCGAGTCCCCCACTTCACTTGGTAGGAGCGGATCCATAATTTTTCAAACGGGGGTGGGGGCACAATAGTTTCAGAATAGATAGGCCTAAATGAGTAACACATAGGCCTACTGTAACACTGATATACATTGAAATTTTAAAAATTTAGTGTCAAAACGGTGGGTGGGGGCACGGGGATTGGATCTGCCCCTGTCCTTTACCCCTTCCCATCAGTCCTCCCATTTTAAGACGCCTAGATACACCACTGATCGAGACAAAATTCATTCCTCGGTCTCTTCGTATTACCCTTTAATTTTTGCAAAGAATAATTATTTTCATAGTAAATCGTATTGGAATCATTATAAACTAACATGCTTTACCTGTAATTAAAGTTAATAAATGAATAGGCAATTCAGAAATGTTATTTTAATAATTTATATGGTTTTTTGAGTTACTGTGTGGCAGTACCGGTAACGTTAATAGCAGAATTATTTGGTATTTTAACTATTTATGGCATTTTTTTAATTGAATTTTGTATTACTTTACGGCAGAAATTGTATATTTTTTTCGTGATAGCAATACAGAAATTATTCCGATTGATATATATATATTTTTTCTAATGCACAGTACGCTATCCTGCTGTCGGTAATCGTTCTTTTGGAATTGACACTGGGTATCATGTCGATTGTCCTGCCTGGTAAGGTAAGATACCCGGAAAAGTTTGTTGAAATTTGTTGACCTATTTTTGACATCACCTTTCAGCACCCGATGAAGGGTGATGCCAGAGAGTGTTTGTGTTATCTCAATAAAGTTACAGCAACATAACTCTTGCCTCATTAATTTTCATTACAACTTGAATTATTTTGTATACATACTGGCATATTTGTATATTATGGCTATATAGGAATATAATGGAATATGAATATACAGTATATATCATATATATATATATATATATATATATATATATATATATATATTATGTATGTATATAAGCCTATACATAAACAGTTATTCTATAAATATTGTAGACATTTTTTTGAGAATATAATTATGGTGTTGTTGCAAGCCCACTTTATTTCCATGAGCACAAAACTTATTCATTGCTTCTATCGTACACAGATGGAATCAGAACTAGAAAAGGGATTGTTGAAAATGGTTGCAGCATACAATTTTGACAAGACTGCTACAGCCAAAATGGATTATCTCCAGCAGACGGTAAGCCTAAATATAAATTTTAGCTTGAAGCATGCGTTTCCAAGTTCGATGACAGATGAGGACGGTATTATTACAAATAAATGAAAAGGGGTCAGGTGCAATGATAACAACACAAAGCTCGTTGGGTCCCTTTTTTCCCACGTAGAGTTCTGCAATTAATCAAGTCAGGTCTTATAATATAGGCCTACAGTGTTTTCTCCTTCATCTTTGCGCGAACTTTAGCTACGGGTGTGTCTTGAAACTGTGATTTACTCGACTGCATTGCATAGGCCTATGCAAAGGAAATGCTGTTATATATATAAATATATATGTATATATATGTATATATATATTATTTTCATTATTCTTTCTGTTAATTTGTAAATTCAATTGCATCTAGCACAATGAAAAAATAATCCTTTTTGGGAGTTAAAGTAAAATACATTGACAAATTCGGCTGAGTACTTTTCAAAATTTCTCAAGAAAAAGGGAATTTGTACTTATGTACAATTCTTTCATCCGGCGAATCACCGAGTACTGTTCACCTGCCTGGGACAGGGCTAGTCAAACTTACAATAAAAGAATCGATAGAATTCAAAAACCATTTTGCAAGAAAATTGACACCAGTTGCAAATTGTTTCGCTTGTAGCCTTTCAAAAACGTGATATTTCTGGGTTGTCAATTTTTTGGTCTTTTATGTTTGAATTTGAAATAGAGGGGAACTTTCACAGATGAAGGGTCTATACTACTTCAGTCCCACCATGGTTGTGGCTGAGGTATGGAAAATTTATGATTATGGCACCTCTAGATGGCCGGAATGGTACTTTTAGACTCAAAATTTGAGAAGAATTTTTTTATAACTTTTTTTTTTATTTAAAAAAATTTAGGTGGGGCCCGAACCGGCTGGACCCATCCCTGAATCCGCCACTGATGCAGGCTTGCAGTTGTGTATATTTTTTCTTATGAACTTTTCTCCTTAAAGCTACATTGCTGTGGATGTACAGGACCAGACGACTACGCACAAAGCACGAATATATCAACGTCAATATACGACGTCCCAGCATCGTGTTGTATACCGGAAAAAGTGTGTGTATTGGAATTCGAATCTGACAGTATCTATCAAACGGTGAGGTTTACTATGATTCTGTAAATACTACTACCTCACAGCACATGACATTAATTATGTCATCCTGATGATGACATAATTAATGTCGAAATATTGAATCCCAACACGATGGCGTGCATTTCAATACTTGGAGTATGTATTATACTTTCTTACCTGGACAAAGTGTCTTAAAGCATAAATAATAGGGAAATAAAACGAAATAGTAGAAAAAAACACATTATGATACTGAATATAACTAAATTATTGTAATTATATTCTAATAAACTATTCCAATATTAGTGGAGTTGTATAAACTGGCCAATAAGATGATTCCTTCCATTTCCTGGACTAAAGTTCAAATTAAGTAACAACAACTGCAGCTATTTCGATGTGAATTTGCGTCAGGAAAATATTATATGAGTGATGTTTTGCAGTACCCCCGCTACTTGGGGACCGGATTCAACACTAGTCACTAAGCGCAAGCTCGGTAGTCTAGTGCTTATGGAGCCAGGCTAGTTCTGGAGGTCGTGGGTTCGATTCCCACCCGAATCACTTGCGTCTTTTTTTTTTTTTGATAACACGTCAGGTGGGCAAAACATCACTCCTAACAACTGCAGCTGCTAAACTGCATGGAGGTAATAGGGCATGGAGGTAATAATATCAGTAATAAGATGAGAGACAACCACATTGTTTCATCCACAATGTATTAGGTTGTAATTGTACCTGTTGTACTGGTACTATACCGAACTATTACTGGTAGTGGTCTTGCATAACAGACTTGCTGTCTTCATGGGGTTTTTTCGGTTTGCGCGACGAGACGTGACGCTAAAACGGATTTACTCATGCTTGACTGTCCTACGTTCTCTGCACAAAGTAGATTTGTTTTATGGACGTCATTACGCTTTACTGCCCCACCTCGTAGTGCAATCGACAGTTCTCTATTAACTGGTTTATCATAGCCGCACGACTATTGACAAACTTTTACTGATTTTTTCGTTTCACTGTAAATTATTTTATTTTTGTTTATTTATCAGGTTCAATAATTTACTTTAAGCAATAGGCCCTATTATCATTATTGTTATTTATTATTTTTCTAGATAGCATATACAATCACAGTTTTTAAATATTCAAAAATCTTTATCTCATTCACCGTTCCCCAGTTCTTCGTCAAGCAACTATTTTCTGTCTTAGAAAAATCAGATCTACAACATATCAAAAAATGTTTTTCCTCCGGAGTCTGACTTTAAAAGGGCAGCTGACTGTAACTGAGTTACAGTAAAATATTTGCTTAAGTTCCTCCTGACCCAAGTCATTGTGTATTTTTGTTGGAGGTCAAATAATTAAATGAAACGAAAATTATTGGCGTAACTTTTAACCTTAAGCCCCTATTCTGCTGACTTCGCCCCTGGATGCAACTTCTAATATAGGCCTATATTAAAAGAGTATTAATACACTCAGTATTTTGAAATGTGTTCACATCAAATCCTCAATATAAATTTCACTTCCATATATCATTGACATATTAATTTTTTAACGTAATATTGCGGTATTAAATCAAATGCAATATTTTGATAATTTCCTAATCTTATTTAATAAGATTAATTATTTATTAGGCCTATAATTTATAGGCCTAATAAATATGTATTTGTATTATTATATTAATTTATTTTAATAAATATCATTTCTGTTATAACTAAGCCATCAATAAAGATGGGTGCTTGATATGCACTAATCCTATGTGTTAACAAATATCATACACGAATTATGTTTACTTTATTCTCAGGGTTGTTCTGAAAAAGCTCTAGAATATGCTGAAGAGTACCTTGCAGCCATGATCGCTGTTGCTTTTACAGTCGTAATCTGCCAGGTATGAAATTACACGCATGCATACTGTATAAGCATATTGTGCAGAAACATGTTTACCCAAAGTAATTCTGTTGAATTGCCTTGGTTTACCTATCAGATCCGAACTGGAACCGCGTACGCTGAAGACCAGCGTCCCTATTCTTACACACTGATTCGATTTTCGAATTGGTTCGGTAGAAACAGAAAATCCGATTCGGTGTGAATCAGGCGAGAGTACGTCTCAATATGACGTCACAAAAATGCATATACATACACTGCCGAGATTCATCTGGTTTTGCTAGATATGCAATAGACAAAATTAATAACTAAGTAATAGTTTTTAAATTGTAAAGATTACAAAACAAAATTTATTGAATCTGTTTTCGAATGTTGTATTACTGATCAATATTTCTTACGAAGTTTCTTACGAACTCTTTTAAATTTTGCAATAATATGCCTTGTTTAAAGTAGTAATCAGACTTATATTTGAATTATTATTATTTTCTTTTTCAGGGATTGTCTCTTGCCTTTGCCTTTTGTTTGATCCGTTCAATTCAAGACAAGGATAAAGTCTAACCGGCACTTGCTGCAGCGCAGTTGTTTTATTACTTAATATTTTGCATGTTTGTGAGCATAGTGCTTTCAAATTAGTCAGTTTTTTACGATATTTCTGTCAGGTAATGATGGCACCAGGTGTGTCGGGGTGGGGCAGATTTCTCTGTCGGGAAGAGCTAGATAGCATTCTGAACTTCTTCACATTTGCTTGTAGCCAACGACGGCCGCCACCTGGGACATCTCTCTACCCCTGGCCACCTGTCGGACAAATCCTGATCAACACTGCTACCAGGTGGAGATAATTTCGAGCTTATTTTAGATTATATATAGATTTTTAGACCTAAATGCATTAAGGCAATAGTAGGAATTTGCCAGCATCATATAATAAAGAGGGCATTTGAAGGAGGAATTTCGATTTTTTTACTTAACGCTAAATACAACGAACATATTTTACGAAACTGATAATTCTCCACGCTTCATTGATTTTACCTCAGCTAGCTATAGTGGTGTGCGACTAATCTCACAAATTCCATTCCCTGGTTCTCTACGTCCATTTTGGTAAGCCAAGTGAAGTAGTTAAATCAAAAGACAACGTATAACGATACTAAAACACATTAGTAGAATGTTATAAGCAAACAGCCTTTTGTCCTTGTAGTAAACATCTATTTTATTGCTCCATTCTGTAAATCAATTTAGGCAGAAACGAATATTTTGATTATAAGCTACAAAAATAATAAACACAATTGCTCAGGAATAAGGTTGTGTGTTTTTCTTTTCTGGGGAGTGTATAATTATTACCCTAGTAGCCAGCAGGGACGTAGCCAGGATCAAGGGGGCGAATCCCCCTGTGAAGTAGCGCACTCTGAACGTTCTTGGACTGTTTGAGAGGATAAAGTGAAAATTGCAATAGACGCATTATAAATAAGCTCAAAAAATAATTATATAATAAATCAACAGTGGCAGATCCAGGAATTCGAAAAAGAGGTGAACCAGGGAGGGACATTCACAGACTGAGGAACCACTCACCTCAGCCCCACCATGCTTGGGGCTGAGGTAAGAAAATTTATGATTAGGGCATCTCTAGACGGCCGGAAATTACACTCTCGCACTTCAATTTGAATATATTTTTCTTTTTTTTCCCTTAAAAANNNNTTGAATCCACCTCTGCTCAAAACTATCCAGAATAGTCATAATCACGAAAAATGGACATGTAAAACCAGATCACATCCTAAAAACAAACAGCAGTCACTAAGACATACATCAGGAGCCGACGCGATGGAGTTTACCCAGGGAAGGGCACAGATCTGTTTTGAAGGGTGGAGGGGGAGGGCATTGTGTGAGTCGACACCCATCTCGGCCCCACCATGGTTGGAGCTGAGGTGAGAAAATTTGAGCAAATAGTAACTCTAGATGGCCAGAAATGACACTTTTAGTAAAATTCATCATCATCACATCACCATTAGTCAAAATGAAGCGCCAAAAAAAATTCTCATGATCTTTTAATAGGGATTTTTGGCAACCATAGAGATCTTCATTAATGTGTATGTGATATACCACAGAAAACAAAGCTTAAAAACATTGTCTTTGAGTATGTACTTTACATAGGCCTACTTCAGAAACGTGATTTCACAACCACCTCAGCCCACCATGGCTGGGGCTGAGGTGAGAAAATATGAGGAAATAGTACCTCTCGAGATGGCTGGAAATGACACTTTTATATAGTAAAATTCATCATCATCACATCACCATTATAGACAAAATGAAACGTCAACAAATTTCTCATGATCTTTTATCAAGGATCTACTTAATATCCAGGACAACTTAGGCCTAACTATAGCTTACTAAGCTTTAACTATATATACTATATTATGATCAACAAATCACAACTTTTTTTCCCATTTAGCACAATTTTCTTCACTTTTTATTGCTATTAATAGTATTATCAATTATTACTATCATCATCATCATTGTTATTATTATTATTATTAGTAGTAGGCCTAGTATTATTAAACAAAAATTTAAAGACTTGGAAAAGGATAAAAACGAAATTGAACCACAATATCGTATTTCTATCTTAAAAGACCTGGCCTGAGATTTATGGATTTAAGATTTTTTTAAATCACGCTTAGGCCTATGTGTTCTATTAGGCCTATGTATAACGTGTACTGATGCATATTTACATGTTTTGGAAGTATTCACTTTGAGTGATCCCAGGAAAGAATTTGTATTGGCCCAAGAATAACCTTTAACATTTTAACACTGTGTACAAAGGGGGCCGCGGCTCCCCCTCCCCTTTGTACACAGTGTTAAAATTTAGAATTTTTTAAAGTTTGCTGCTGATATAGAAGTTAAGAAAGACATGACTATCGGTTGGTGTAAAGGGACGTAGTGATATTTGGTTATTGTTAAGAGATACAGAAACGTCTAGAAAGGGCAGGGATGCATGAGATTGTTCTAATGTCAATTTTATGTGAGGGTGAATTGGCATGGGCTTCAGAGGGTTTAAGTGTATCGGCACCATGCGGCCATGATGAATATGTCACCTGTATTTGAGGTGGAACGATGAGATAAGTTTGTTTTCAAGCTCTACCATGACTAGGCCTATATTAGAGGCCATTTTTGTTCCCATTGCTGTGCCTTTTATTTGAAGATATAATGAGAATTAAATGTGAAATTATTATGTGTTAAAATGAATTTAGTAATGGCCACAACGACATCCTCTTCACTATTAAATTTCACCCTTCCACCATGGCCGACCTCCTATAAGGACTACAAAAGTGTTATTACTGTTATTATATTCAACATCTTCATTTGATGATTTAATGGTACCAAATTACCATTATCATCATTATTATTACCATTATTATTATTATTATTATTATTATTATTATTATTATTATTATTATATAAATTATATTATTATTATAAAATCTTGGCACCTTGAATCAATTAGTAGAAACGAATTTTACCAAACAGTATACTACTTGGTACCATTATTTTGTTTAGTTTCGAATTCTTGACGAAGAAAATTAGGTAGGTATTTTCTCAAATGAAGAAATATCATTCATTATATAAAAATTGTTATTATCATAAGTATTTTAATTATTTATTTAGCAATAATAAAAATTATTAGCGTTATAATGAGCGTCTGTGCGTAAATCTACGCTCAGACGCTAATTATGCGTCACGATTTAAAGTCGACCAAGCAAACAGTGGCGGACAATGGACACTTCCGGAGTGTCAACCAAAATTAACAACTGACCAATCAGAACATTGCCAGGGATAGGAGCGCGTCCAACAAATACGCCTGTTGTCCTGGTTACAGCAACAATATCAAAGGGGCGGGAATTAGCGAAAAGGTCCATCAGGTAATGCCAAAATTCAGGGGGCGCTTGTACTTGTAGGCTTCATTCACACACATTATTTTTATATAGATATACATAGGGGCCTATTTGCAATATTCGATACTGTATAGTTCTTTATTATCTTTAATATTGAACTTCGGCTTACACAATGAACGTCGTTTCACTTTTGCATTTAACGATATGGCTGCAGCATTAGTGTTACTCTTGCATTATTTTACATTATTGCTATTGCGATCAAACGCATTAATTGCATTGATGTCAGTAATTAATAAAATATCTAGTTTAGTTTTCTGTATTATTGTACAACATATGTTTTTCCGTGTAAGAATTTATTTAAAATATTTAAAAATTTAAAAAATTCTTGGCGGGTTTATTAGAATATTTCGTTTTTGTTTACAACTGATGTAGCTGATGTACCGTACATATATGCATATGTACATATATTGGATATAGTTAAAATATAAACCACGTGTAAACGGTTGCAGATTGAAGTCCAACTCATCTTATCAAGTCTGTTTATGAATAACCTAAAGCATACAACTTACACACGGCTTGTATTTACACTTCTACAAACGTATCGTTTTAGTCTGGAGCAGCAATCTGAAGGGGACGCTTTCGATAGAGCATCTGCCATGTTCACATTTTATTCATCATAAATGAGAGATACTATAAGTACAATACATCAAGGTGAGTATACGCCTTGGTAAAATTATTGAACTTTATGTAAGGTAGGCCTACCTGTTTAATATTATTATATGACGCAACAGGACATAGGCCCAAATATTCTCAGGTCGCATTAAACCTACGCTTGATTTTGTTGGGCCTACGCAAACGATAACGCAAATATCACGCCTTGTGTAATGGTGTCAAGACAGTAGGCCTACAATTCTGACCAAAAAAGATTTAGGCCTAATATTTTTTTCAAAAAGAACTGTACGTTTACTACTGTAGTATGTAGGCCAAGTCGGTGTAAAATTTATTTGATATCGCCATCGCAATGCATTGAAGCAATCTCTACAGTTTACATATGATATTGCAAAATGGTTGATGTGAATTTGCTATGATTTCAATACGTAGTGTAAGTAGACATATATGGCTTATGCATTATATTAAGTCTAACAATTAAAAAAAGGACACTCTTCACAAGGCTTAAAGAGCATTGTAGTTTCATTCTGTAATCGACGTGTCCAGTATTCGATGTAAAACTAAAATGTATTAAATACCGGTAAAGATTATATTTAAATATGAAATTGATAATGACCACGAGCAAAAGACAGACTTAATGCATTAGACAATTCAATTCTTTAATGCTGCAAGATCCATCTTGACGAATAGGCCTATTCGCCAAAAATGAAAACAAATAAAAATACAACCCTTCCCCCCCACCCAGTATCCCGTATGCCTAAACAAAACTATGCTCTAGAACGTTACTCCACTGAGGTGCTAGTGCCCGCATATCCGAACCTATACAAAAATACGGTACATCATGGGGGGAAGGGTTTTACTCCACTAAGATTTTAGTGACCCACATAAGGTATCCCACCTGATAAAAAAAATGCATGAAATTGAGGGACGTTATCTGCTTAGGTCCTAACAGGGAGGTATTTTTGTATTTCTCTCTAATCAAACATACATCATGGGGTAGGAATGTCCGCTAAGGTCCTTCGACCTGCATAGGTCTTTACACAATTAATACAATTTATAGACCTAATTATTTCAAATATTGCCATTACAGTTAGAAACGGTCCATCAAGATGGCTTCTTATAAGATATCGTTTATTCGTACATTTCTGTCGATTGTAAACGTGTTAACATGGGTAAGTCTTATGAATTACGTCCAAAGGGTATCGAATTGCAAGAGTCCGACTGCCCTGATTTTGTATGCACGCAATGGAAAGTTTAAAATAAGTACTGCCACGGGATAGGGGGCGCCCTATTAGAATTCGAATACTGTTCGCTCGAAACTCCGTTTTTTAGGGACACGCTTCTTCGTGGCAGTACTGTATTTTTGAAATAGGATTACGTTCCAACGAAACCACGAGAGTCGGACCTCTTGCAGTTTTATACTCTTTCTTACCTCCATAAAGTTCATGTAGGTTGAATACCTATTGTTAAGAAGCACAAGCACGCAGTCGAAAATGTAGGCCTAATTATATTTGTCAGCAGCCATATTTATACATTTTCTGCAAAAGACAAGTTTTTTCCCCGCCTTAACCTAGGGCGGTAAAACGTCATAATTATCTTGAGTCCAGAATATACGTATTGAATGACTTCAATCTACGGGATTGGTTTGTCAGTGATTTGAAATGGTATTAAATTGGACATGTTTTTGGCTCAGTTTTACATCTATAAGCCTATAACAATTTTAAACCAAAATACATATTATTGTCCAATCATGGAGGAATTGGTTTAAAAAGTTAAACTAATTCCTCCATGGTCTAATCATGTTACTAGATAATACATAGATACGTTTTGTAGTGTTGGTAAATAATCCATGATTATTATGGTTAAAACTTAAACAAATATTTCAAATAGGCCTACTAAAAACATTTGCGGGTCATGTATCCTTTTTTGTTACACGAAGAGAGATACCTGCATTATGCTTATAGGAATTCTTACAAGGCTCACTCCACGCATAACCACGGAATATTTTATTCCAACTTCTTCAAACAAATTTTAGGAATGAGGAGAGGTGTATTAAGTACTTATCATAGAAGACTACTATGCAATGTTTTTGTCACAAACTTGAATTTTCAGCTGGCTGGTGGCGCTATATTGTGCGTTGGAATCTGGATCCTTGTTGACTTTGGTAAATATGGAATCGAATTTGGAAAAGATATCGTGGAAACCGTAGCAATTGTCGTCATATGTGCAGGAAGTTTTGTGATTCTAGTTGGTTTCATAGGATGCTGTGGAACAATGCGAGAAAACACTTGCTGTCTCTACCTGGTGCGTATATCAATAGGGTCGACAATATGACGATCATCAAATTAACAAAGTGATTATAACGATTGGGTTATTAGGTCCCTACCATTATATTAAATATTTATTTGAACATGGATTCAACATTACTCACAGAAAATGTTAAATAGTTTTGTAGTATAATACCTTCTTTACGAAGCCCAAGTGGTGTTTGTATATAATGTGAGTGATAAATAAATATAATACATTTTAGAAAAACGTATTGCCCCCATCGGTATCGGGATTGCTGTTAGTTTAGAAATATGGTAGAAAAACATATTCTATAATAAAATGAAATTTGAGTTATTCTCGTTAATATCATTACGGTATGTATTATTATTATTATTATTATTATTATTATTATTAATATTATTGAACTAATATAAAAACTGTGTAAATTGCTCTGCTTTAGTGATTATAAACTATATTAATCAATGTACGTACATATTACACTTTCGTTACACTCATTCTTCCTATTATTTATTACTTATGTATATTGCCTTATGTTAGTTCGAATGCTGTGGATCCGTTGGACCAGAGGATTGGCGTTTATCTTGGTGGGTCCAGAACAATGGCACGGGCGGTGTACCTTTATCTTGTTGTAATGACGAAGCATGCTGGGAAGATGGCTATGATTCAGATAAAATATACCAAAGGGTGCGTTTTCAAACCTCTTAATTTTTTTTATCAAGGCTCTTGTTTTTATCTTTTCCATTTTTACAGATTTCAGAGATAGGCATATGGATTTTTTAAATAGCAATGTATGACTTTAAGTTGGTCTTAAGTAAATAATTAGCTTTCTGATGGGCATGCAGAATCTTGGTTTCAACATGAAGGAATAACTCATTCCTCAATGGTTTCACATTCTGAACAAAACGTCATAAAAGTTATGTACATATTAAATTACATATGCGTACTTCGAATTAGACACAGTGGTGACGTCCAATGTGCATTCATAAAACTCGTATTTATTCTAATATTTGTTATAAAAATTCCTTTAATTATAGTATGTATTCTGGATTGTACACACGTTTGGAGTATAATCATTCTGAACTCCACAAGAAGGAGAAACACACGACTTTATCCTACTGTTATTAAGTTACCGGTATACTGTATATATTTTTTGATTTAGGGTTGTGTGGAAGTGTTATATGGATATATCTACAACTATTTTACTGCTATTGCCGGGGTTTGTTTTGGAGTGTTGGGTATTGAGGTGAGCAGTCACAATCTAATTTATACGTGTATTTTTTTTCTCTCATTCATTCATTCATTCATTCATCTTGTCAAGAAAAATATATAAATATATTGTAAATGTTACAACGGGCGCAAAACGACATTGGAATCCGGAATGTACAACTATTATGTTTTTTTTCTTTCAGATTTTCGCTATGGTCTTATCCTGCCTGTTACTTTTTGCTATAAAAGAAAAGACAAAAATATGATGTATCGACTGCCGTGGATCATTGACTGCTGAAACGTTTGATGATTGTACCTATTGTTTAATCGACATATTCTAAATATAAATTTGGTGTTTGGGAAAAAAAGCATTTCTGTAGTACAGTTGTAAATAAAACTAATTTATATAGTGTTTTAGTACTAACATTTTGAGTGAAAAACAGTAAAATGATCCAACCCATAACCCATATACTATTTAATTGTCTTTAATTAAGAACACAATTTTAATCAATGTCGACCTTAGTTGACCTGAAATGACCTAAAGGTTGAACACATCAGGCTTCGATTTCAAAATACAAATTTAAACAAATAATTGACCTGAGCCACATAGGTGGTTGTGCAAATAACTTTAAATTATTTAATAGGCCTATGCAGAACAGAAAACCTTAAAAAAATCTGTTTATGTCTGATGTGAAATAATTTTGAGAAAAAAATAACACAGTATAATTTAAAAAGTATTTGGTTTTCCTACTTGCAGACTAGTCCAGGCCTATTACTGTATGAAGAACACGGTCACCAAGAGGAAAAACTGTAACATTGGAAAGGGTTAGTGGGGCCCCTGTTACGAGCGCAAAGCGCGAGAAAGATTGCGCCGAAGGTGCCAACATTTTTTTTGATCCTGTTAATCTGGAGGAGCCCATTATTAGGGGTCCATGGCATTATTGAGGGCCCATGATAATAATTATTATTTTTGAAAAAAAAAATATTGGAAAAAAAAATGCTACCTGTTTTTATGGCGCCCCTGGTAAGCTTGGGCCCGGAGATCTTTCCCGCTGGCCGCCCCAACCCCTCTCTCGGTGGCCCTGAAAAAGAACAGTAATATGATCCTCGATGCTTCATGCTATTTTAGAAATCCACAATAAAGTGGTACGGAGATTTACTATATCCCATATTAAAGGTATACCACCTGTTACGTGCTAAAAAAGAACTCAAAATTTATGAGCTTTCAAAATGATAAAAAAAAACAACTTATCGCCAATAATGGATCTTACCTATAGGCCTATTATTTGTATTTGCATACCGTAGGCCTATTATTTGTATTTGCATACCGTAGGCCTATTATTTGTATTTGCATACCGTAGATCCTTAAATAAGTTAGTAATCAATCTTGTAGTCGGAATTAGCAAAATCTGAATTGCTACAAGTTTAAATTTCATGCAATCCATTATAATCATTGGGAAATTAGAAATAATTTTAGATTCTGATAACAATTAAAACAGAGTATATTAATTATATTAGTTGTAATGTACTGTATACGTATTCGTACGATTTTCATAGCAAACAACAGTGTGCTGTAAAGAGGCGGTTGGATATCGCTTTGTACATTTTTGATAAGCAGCTCTCTGGAATAAGCACCACATTATTACAAAGTGTCATGCTTTTTCGTTATCATCCATAAACTATTTGTATACGAACTGTAAATAGGTCATGAGGCGGATGCAGGATTTGGTGGTAGGGGTGCGTGGGAATCCACCATGGTTGGGGCTGAGTGTGAAAATGTTGAGAATTTGGACCCTAAGTTTCCCGAAAATTGCACTCTCATACTTTTAAATCTTACGGGTACTATATATTAATAAAATAATATTCAATTATTTTTTTAATACAATTTACGGGGTGCGATCGCACGGTTGCACCCCCACCCCCAAAAATCCGCCCCGGAGGCCTAATACATGTCAGATACGCCATTTACCACTTTAACACTCCAATATTTGTAGTAAGTGCTGATCTTGATAAGGTTACACTGTAGCAAGCCCTTGCACTAAGTCTGCAAAAATTGTATAAGGACCGCGGAACTAGTAGATCATTTACAGAAAATGACAATGTTGTGTAGGCGATTAAAATATGGTAATCAGACCGCCATTATACATACTCTAGTTTTAGTACAGTAATGGTATATTCGTCAGTCAATAAGAGTGTTTCCTGTACAATACCTGAAGCAATTATCACTGTGAGTACAACAGAATACTACTAAATACACGTCGTCTTACAATGGCGGTAAATATTTATTTGAGCATTAAGAAGATTCCGCTGGAAGAAGTACATACAAATACAATTTAAAAAATCGTACAAAAAAAGAAAATAAACGCATATCAAGAAGTTAAACTTGCCTAAGTCGACTTTGCCGGACTCAAATAATTTCCCAAGTCGATCAATTTTCCATGCCAAATTGTTGTTTTCCATTAATTAATGATCTGCAGGTCGAATTTTCAATGCTATTTTGGATTCGATTTAGGCAAGTTCAACTTACCACTTCCACGAATGTCCAATTACAAATCAAACTACAGTAAGTGTACCATCAAAACCCATTAAAACCAACCCAGAGAGGTACAATATTAATAATAGTTGATGTCGATCCGCGATCCTTGCACATGCTGCCTTGCTGTGAATACCAGACAAAAACGGACAATGTGAAATACAACATGGTACAGTTTTTTTGATTCAATCAACATTTAGGCAAGTTAATGAACATTACACCCAAATTGAAATGTTTTTGTAGCTGTATACCATGTGTTTATTGACATACTGAATTAAAACCAGCACAAATATAATGAGTGTACATGATAATGATTTTACATTTGTAATTTTCCCAGCGTCTCAAAATTGAAAAGTATTTCCAAAACGTATTATCAATGTGGTCAGAAATCAAGGTTGGTTTTGCCACAACTTCTGTTAATAGGGAGCCTTCAATTTGTTTGACATGACGCTGGAACAGAATCATTCGTGCGTGACCGGCCTACGGGGTGTCCTACGTTCTCTGGGCATTTTCAGACACTACTTGCGCTAGTGCAACGTTAATCGAGTGGCGTGAAGGTGTGCACGAACGCCAGTATTATCGAGCAATCACTGGTAATCCAGCAACAGACACCAAATTAGTGTACGTCACTAAGTTACGACAGTCATACATCACTGATTTTGAACTCGGCCATGATTTGACCAATCACAATAAGCCTAGATGCAAACAGGATATAAAATGCGTGATTACGAATACAAATATTTCGTGCGAATACTTAAGCTAGTGTTCATTAATCGCCCAGTCTGGACATCTCGCTAGTTACGAAACGGATTTAACGACTGGCGTATCTCTCAGGTCTGTACATAGCCATAGATTTGGCCAAACAGCATCACAGAATCCACGCGATGAGAAGAGCTTAATGTTCTAGCATGCGCAGAATGAAGACATTATGTTTTACTGTCGCAATCGCAAAACTATATATCAAAAGGCCAAGAAAAATGAATTGTTAGTACCACAAATAATACTAACTATATTTTGACACCCATAAATGTGGCACCTTCTACCGAGTCTTAAAATAATGACATACTATTGATAGAATACTAAATTTTTCGACTCAATCCCCAAGTGAAAATAAATAAGTGAACCTAATATTTTACACGCATACTGAACCATCAACTTGCACAACTTTGAAAAAATAATATGAAGTTCAGGTCTTGATAATATCAAGTTTAGCAATGACTGAAGTATACACGCAAAGGTATTTTTAATAATACGCATTTGTGTATATAAACTGAACACATTACAGTGGTGTCAAACCAAAATACAAGTTGTGATTACACCAAATGACCATTAAAAATACTGATGTTCATTAATACAGCCATCTTCTTCATTACTTCATATTAAATGTATCTACAAGAACTTAACAATATCCTATAGTACAGTACTTAAATTAAATATCTATTTACCCATTTCAGCATGCATTGTATTATACCACTGTTTAAAATGATTTGACAGTCATTTACATGAGATAAGATACAGTAGTTACAAAATATTAAATTGTAATCATTTCACACAATGTTAGGGCATGAACTTTTTTTTTTTAGTCACACGAATATGAATAACATTGAAAGCCACAGATGTTGCCTATCTTTTTATAATAACGGTTTGACAAGCAACAGAAAAGTTTCCATTCTGTTATGCTAGAGAACATCAAATACGCAACCATTTTAAAAGCAGACGTTACAATTACCCTCCTGCTTCAAACATGCGTGGCTGACTACAGTTAAACTTTGCCTACAGTTGACTTTGCCTAACTCAAATAATTTCTAAATCGATCTTATTTTACATGCCAAATTGTTGAGTTTTCCATTAATTAACAATCTGTAAGTTGAATTTTATCTAAGTCGAACAATTTTGCAATGGCATTTTCGATTCGACTTAGGCAAGGTCAACTGTATTGTATTTCTGGCTTTGACCCTGGTAAAAATTTCTTATCAACAAATCTTTAAAAAGTTGAGGCAAATATAATGACACATGTTTCATTATCAGGTGATGATAGGCTTCAATTATGACGCTTTAAGCCCATATATTACGTAATTTTACCATTATTTTCCTCAATTCAAATATTCAAAATCTACTCCATTAAGCACCAGATAGAGCAATGCATTCAGGTCAGCATTAAAACTCAAGCAGACAGAATTCCTGACACAAATCCGTGTCTGCATACAAGCCATCGACAAGACACAATTGAGGGGGTGTGTCTACTGTATCCTAACGCATGTGGTAGGTAAACCGTTGTTTACATTCACTCAATTCACCTTGAAACTCAACATCTATTTCAAAGTCAAGGTCTCTCTGCAAATATAAAACAAATATGATATATCAACTTGTATATTGACAAAGGGTGAGCAGATATCGAAGTGCAAATGTATTTGGACTCCGATTAAATTTTAAGTATTAATCTCTACTCTTTCTACAGTTCTAAAACATTAGTTGTTACACAGAAACCAATTGTACATTGGTATCAAAATTAGATTGTATTGTAATTTTTGTGAGTGTGAAAGACATAAAATCATAACGCTAAAAAATCCGAACTTACAGTGGTCTTTCTGGTGGAGGTTTTGGTGTTACACCGGGTGACAATTCCTACTGTTTTTCTAAGAGTGTACTGCGTTCATTAAGGTAAATATGGGCCACGTAGGAAGCAAGACCAACGGATTAAACATCTCAACCAAAAGACAGTGCACTATTGAGCTTTGTAGATCAGACCACTGTTGAGTGGGATTTTGAAATAAAGATAAATAAAAGTAAAGAAAATTTGAAAAAATTTACTTACGTTGTTCTTAGGATTTGGTGTCATGGATACCACACCAGAGATTCCTTCACCACGTTTGACGGTTAAGTAGTCATCCAAGTAAAAAACAGTCTGCTTCCAGTGTGTGTAATGGGCATCAGGAGCTTCAAAAAAATAGTTTGATTTAAACATTTAAAACTGATGTGTTATCGTACCCAATACTCAGTACGTTCCCAAATACCTGCACTTAGCGATCCCCAAGTAGCAGCGGTTACGCTGCGAATGTTATTTCAATGTATGTTTGCATCAGGAAAATATAGGAGTAATGTCTTGCCTATTACCATTACCTGACGTGTTATCATACCGAAAAACAAAGTACATAAAAACTCGCAAGTGATTTGGTGGAAATCGAAACCCACAACCTCCCGATAACGATGCTGGTGTTATAACCAGTAGACCACCAATGTTGCGGTTAGTGAATAGTGTTGTATCCGATTCCCAAGTAGCAGCGAATACACTGCAAATGCTATTTTGATGCATGTGTGCATCAGGAAAATATCATAGGTGTAATGGTTTACCCATTACCAGACGTGTTATGGTACCTAATGCTCAGTACGTTCCCAAAAACTTGCGACAAAAAAAAAAAAGAAAAACCATGCAAGTGATTCGGGTGGGAATCGAAATTACAACCTCCAAATAACTAGCCTGGTGTCATAACCAGTAGACCATTGAGCTTGCACTTAGTGACTAGTGTTGAATCTGATTCCTGTAAGATAGTTTGTTTACCTGTAGAAAACCCGGTGCGTTTGTGGCACATAGTGAACTCAATGTTGAAATATGTGACAAGCGCTTGAACGTAGTCGCTTCGGTTACACTTCAGTTGGAATGGCGACGAAAACGTCGCATCCTCTACCTTTACCGTGTACATGTCGATTTCCTTCAGGAGACATGCGTTGGATACAACCTGCTTGGGGTCGACACAGTCAACTAGAGGCTCACTGACTGCAACATCACGTATGCAGCTCATGTTGAACCCATATACATTCTCCCACCCTGCCAAAATAGAAATGAAATCACAAGTTAAATTTATTGTGTATTTATCAAACAAAAGAAAGAATGAGATTAAAAGATATACTTTCTAAAAAAATTCATTAAAACAATGAATTATGTATGTAAAAGATCTAGAATTAATAAATCTTTTTTTTATGTTTATTATGTATTATCAAACAAAATATATGTTTGTTGAAAGAATGAGATTAAAAGATATATTGTCTACAAAAATTCATTAAAACAATGAGTTACGTATGTAAAGATTTAGAATTAATAAATCTTAAATAAAAATGGGAATGATATTTCAAGTTTAATTTATTGTGTATTATCTAACAAAAGATATGTTTTTTGAAAGAATGAGATAAAAAGATATATTGTCTAAAAAAATCATTAAAACAATAATTATGTATGTAAAAGATCTAAAATTAATAAATCTTAAATAAAAATGGAAATGATATTTCAAGTTAAATGTATTGTGTATTATCAACCAAAAGATGTTTTTTAAAAGAATGAGATTAAAAGATATATTTTAAAAAAAAAATCACTAAAACAATGAATTATGTATGTAAAAGATCTAGAATTAATAAATCTTAAATAAAAATGGAAATGATATTTCAAGTTAAATTTATTGTGTATTATCAACCAAAAGATATGTTTTTTTGGAAGAATGAAATTAAAAGACATATTGTCTAAAAACAATGAGTTATTATATGTAATAGATCTAGAATTAATTATTCTTAAATACTGTAAATTTAAGATTTGGTCATGATACCTTGTCCTTTGCAATTTTCAAATCAACTTGCATTTCATTGAAATGTTATATTTTTATTGCTTATGTTACTAAATAATTAGATTTAAACAGCGTACATATCCGCTGCAGTAGTACTCAAAGCAACAGTACATAAACTATTCAATAGACACATTCTGCTAGGTTGGCCATGTGATGTATAGTGGGTATCAATTGTAAACACGCAGCCCAAGCACCTTCTTCAGATTGTTTGTACTGTAAAGCACATATTTGATGTGAATAATGTTAGTTGGAATGCCAGTAACTATATCAAATTGATTGGAAATTGAGATTTACAGTTTTGCCATAATGATATGCTAATGCTCCAAAAGATACTGGTACCAAACGTTGGAATTTCTCGAGAAATGCTAGGCCTAGGCCCCTGCATGCCTACAGCCTGATTAGGTATGCACAAGAGTCTTTGACCTAAAACTGCGATTTTGACACACTGCAATTTCTAGGCTAGGTTAGGATTACAAATGATCACATAAATTCAAAAGCATGCAAAGCACATTAAATGCTAGAATAAATCAATAAACACTGTTTTAAACAATCATAGTGGATTTTCTTGTCAGTTATTTCTCATGTTAATGGTGGGGCGAATGTTTTTGAAGCCAAAACATTACCCTTTCCTAAAATTGTATTCTCCATAATAATACCCACTATAGGTCACATGACCGACTGTAAACAAACCTCACGAAATGTGTGTATTGACTGTGCTGTCTTTTGACTCTGTTTTTACATGTGTGTGCAAAGGAGCCTTGGTTCCAGCGATGCGAGTCCCTTTTTTCCTGTTTCACACTCTCAAACGTGAAACAAATAATAAAAGATATTTTATCGAATATTCATCATAACACTTTATGTTTATGCCATTCCTCTATTATAAGAGCTTTTGTTGATTGTAAAATAGATTGCACTACAATAGTAATATGAGTCAGTAGGGGGCATACTTACAGTTGATCTTTTCATCCTTATACTGCCTGTCTTCTATTGCTGTTATATACAATGTGGCACGGTCTGGAAATATAAGTCCCTCAGGGGCCTTAACAGTAATAGGAAAAAAAAAAATTTCGTTTAAAAACAAACCACCTCCATAAAAAAATTTTTTGGTTTAATACAAATCATGATTATTAAATTTTACTTAGGTTTATTACTGTTTTTTTTAGCTGTTTTATCAAATATACATAAGCTGTAAGTTATTTCGTAGTCTCTGGTACTGGTATTTATTATTGCTGTTTTTTTATTAATATCATTCATGTTTGTAATATTTTTAATAACTCTTTTTATTATTATTAACATTTGCTGTTACATATTTTTATTGCTGTTATATATTTTTATTGCTGTTATTGATTTTATTGCTAATTTCATTTGTATTATATCTTTTCTTTTATTATTATTATTTTATTTTTAATATTATTGCTATTTTCTATATTATATCTGTTATTATTATCTTTACTGATTAATAATGGAAATACTGCAATTGTATTTCCTGTTGCATTTGTAAATGTCACTATAATATTTTTTTTTTCTTTCCTTAATACTGTTTGTTATTACTTTATAATAGTGTTATTGCTGTTATTGTTATACCTTTTGTCACTATTACTATGATTTATAACATATTTAGATTTTGGAGAATCAATCAGAAAACCAACTAAGACATATTTGAGGCATGTTGTGGCAAAATGGCTATTAGTATAGCAAAAATTGAAATTCAAGATATTGGTATTTTCAGATACCTGAGTACTGTACAGTATGGGATCTTTAAAATGAGGAGTCATTCATTGAAATTGGACATTTCAAGCATAGGTTATTGGAAAGTAAAAGTACAGCACAACATAAACATGATTTTGAGTAATTGCCTTTGTTTTAACATTGTTTTAATTAGAATTAACAATCAAAATAACGTTAAATAAACGATTTGTTGACCACTTCCATGATTAATAAAACATTAAACTGTTGATTTATACATTCTTTTGTTACACATAACCTAATTTCCCTTGTAATTCTTGTAATTAATTTCTTTATAATTATTGAAAGTCTAATTTGTTAATATTCTGTAATAATTATCTTATGTTCAAAAGGAAATTAAACTAGATTTGATGTGGCAATCTCAAAATTCAGTATAAATGGTACTGTAATGCTAATTTTAACTGATTCAGTGATAAATGTAATCTTAAAGCAAGGCTCCAGAGGTAAAAAAAATGTTGATATATTGTACAACTGATATTTCAAAGACACAAAATCCATATTTAACAGAAAATTAGGAGTGGTTAATGAGATACATATTTTTGTATAGTTAAAAACTGAGGGGGGGGGGGGTAGAAAAAACTTCCCTTTTTCCCCAGTTTTTAAATATTCAAAAATCTATATCTCATTAACCGATTTCAAGTTTTTCGTCAAATATATTTTTTGTGTCTTGGAAAAATCAGTTGTACAACATATCAACAATTTTTCCCTCTGGAGCATGCACTATAATTGTTGTCCTGTATTTACACCTTTAGTTTAGATTTAAATATTTGTTTTCAATTTGTTAAAAGGTTTTGGGGGAGGTAGTTCTGACAAGAAAAAAGATATCTTACAAGCCACTTGTCTCTTGCATAGATGACTGTATTTAACATGCTTTCATAAAATAGACAATACCCCATCCATTCACTGATGATTATATCCACTTTTTCTACTGGTAATTCCACTTCTTCAACTTTGCCTTTTACCAATGTTATCACTGTAAAGGAAAACATAATTTATTACTTTGTGGATAATAACTACATAGAAGGAGATCGGAGAATCCTTAGACGAGGTATCACTTTCGTATCTCGAAAAAGAATGAGAGAAAGTTGCATGGTGGCTGGGCCGCTTGTGCATGGTGCTAGGAGTCAACTGTTCTATTATTTTTCAAGGGGTGTTCTCATGTGTTAGAAAGAATAGGCAATTTGTTGGTATATCCAGGAAAGTATTCACAAAGGACTAATACCTTCTGTAGGTAGCAATAGTAGCAATATTATCTGTAACAGAGCAATAGATGCAGAGGAATATTATTAATAGCAGAATAGGTTAGAACAGCTAAGTGGAAGTAAGAAGAACTGAAGTGGATGGATGAATCTATTCAGTGTAATCACACCAAGGATAACCCATGAAAGTCTGAAGAAGACTTAATTCCAGTGGTGTCTTTCGGGTGGTGATTGGGCAATGCATCGGTAGACAATCCCCATTCTTTTCAGTATAGTGTACTGTGTTTGTTAACGTGCACACGGGACCAACGGCTTGAACATCTCCTCTGAACAAAGGTGCACTATCAAAACTTGCATTTCAGCCCTCTAGCTAAAACACATGGAAAGCAGCGATGGGAATAAACCGAGCACACACAGAGGCTACCACCAGTTTAGTTGACTGAACTATGCTGCTCTCATTAAGTTAGAGAAAGAATAGTAGCAGCAATCATTAGCTGTAACAGCACAATACATGCAGTGAAATAACAATAGCAGTAGAGGTTAAACAACAGCTTCAGTGGAAACTGCAGTTGAAGTAAGAGAGCTTTTGTGTAAGGCGACCTGCAGTGGAAGTATGAATAACTGCAGTGGAGGTAGGAACAGCTATGGTGGGTGAAGTATACAGTAGGAGAGCTTCGTGAGAGAATAGCTGCAGTGGAAGTAAGGACAGCTTAAGTAGTAAGTCTTCTTAATGTCCATCACGTCTGATGCTGCTGGGAAGAAATACATTGAAAGTTAGAAGGAAGAGTGGAAGTGTAAGTACTATGCGCTGTAATAAAAGCATAAAAGAGCTACAATGGAAGTAAGAACCACAGTGGCAGTAAGAAAGAGCTGCAATGGGAGTAAGAAGAGTTGCAATGGAGGCAAGAACCACAGTGGCAGTAAGAAAGAGCTGCAATGGATGCAAAAAAAGCTACAATGGAAGTAAGAACCAAAGTGGTAGTAAGAAAGAGCTGCAATGGGAGTAAGAAGAGTTGCAATGGAGGTAAGAACCACAGTGGCAGTAAGAAAGAGCTGCAGTGGGAGTAAGAAGAGTTGCAATGGAGGTAAGAACCACAGTGGCAGTAAGAAAGAGCTGCAATGGGAGTAAGAAGAGTTGCAATGGAGGTAAGAACCACAATGGCAGTAAGAAAGGGTTGCAATGGGAGTAAGAAGAGTTGCAATGGAAGTAAGAACCACAGTGGCAGTAAGAAAGAGCTGCAATGGAAGTAAGAAAAAATACAGAGGAAGTAAAAACAGATGCTGTAAAAGGATAACTGCAGTGGAAAAATTTTTCATAAGAGAATATCTGCAGTATAAGTAGCACCAGCAACAAATTCATTGCCAGATACTATCAATTTAGGTAGAAAAAAACACTTACCATCCCCCATGTTATTTGCTTCAACAATTTTCTTGGCATGATCCACTATACTAGAGCACTCAATCTGCAAAAAAAAAATAAATAAATAAATAAATAAAATTCTTATCCATGGTTAGGATAAAAGAGTAACATAGTGATTAGTTATAGAGCATCATAGTAAAGATAATCAGCTCTATCAGACAGGTCATCTTCATCTTCCAGAAATACATTCTATCTGTCTTTCAAGCTGGATTGGATTGGATTTATTTGATGTAAACACCAAAGATAGCTCACAAAAGTCTAGAAGAAGACTTATTTCCAGTGTGGTCCTGTCTTATCTGTGCTGTTGGACAGAGAGCAATGTGTTTTATTCTTACCCCAATTACTTGCTTTGCCCCTGCTTTTGCAGCAAACATGCACAGAATACCGGTGCCGCAGCCTACATCAAGGACCGTCTTCCCCCTGAATAAATGTTTATTGTGATACATTGAGTTCTTGTAGGTTAGCGTTCTCACTTCATCTTTCAACATTTCCTGAAATCAAAATCAAACAATTATATGAGTAAAAACTAACATCTATCAGTTGAGATTGTGCCAATTTCTTTATGGTACAGCAGTAGCAACCCTTTACTGTATATTCCTATATAAATAATACTGTTGTCTTAAAAAACAAACCAATTCAAATGTCGCCAAAAGTCAGTACAATGTGGACCTATCTAGAGTGTCAATCAAACTTAAAAACTGACCAATCAAAACAGTGAGAAGGAATATGATACGTGTGTGTCCTACAAACACGTGTTGTTGTTGTTGGACAAACGCACACGTTTTTACACTATCATTATATGGGACATTAGCAACAGTGTCCAAGGGGCGGAGCTTAGAATGAAGGTCCATTATTATAGGCAGGAAGATATGAGTGACAGGACAGTGAAGGATACCTGCTAGCTAGAGAAGCATGTGCAAAGATTTGTGCTAATTACCTTGGAAGTATTACAGTCCTCTGTGTATATGTTTTCCTAGAGCTTTGTCCACACTATCAAATCTTACGCGACAAATAACTGAGGTATGTCCATATTTGAGAGCAATTTGACATAATCATCTCCATATACAGTATGGGTGCCGCACATCACACAAATCCTTCACGTAAAATTTGATAAGTGTGGACAGACCTTCACAGTACATGATCCTATGAATAATATTATTATACAGCATTTGCTAATCACACAGATGTGCATTCACATGGACACAATTTATCAGCAGACACGCAAATATTTCCTGAGCACGCTTCCTAATTCCATGTTCACATGCATATAAAAATGGTATAAGAATAAAAATTACTAAGATCACTTCTTACCTCATGGATACCAAAGTGAGCATATGAATCGAAGTAATAGTCCTTGGAGGTCATAGAATCTACTGAGGTTCCTTCTGCTCCTTTTGCTTTTTTCTCTGGTGATGGAACAATGTCTCCATTGCTACCAGCATCTGCTACAGAAGTCTAGAGGGAAGACGAACAACATTTACATTATTTGAATGTTATCCATGGCCACAGCCAGCGTGAGGCAGACAAAAAAACTTCACATTGTCAGTATTTCTTAAATGAACAGAGGGAATTTTTGCAATTAAAATGTAAATTATATTCAATGCTTTAATTACTGTATTTTGAACAATTAATGAATTACCAAATGGTGAATGAATATCACATGACTGTACACCAAGAGAGATTATACTGTATCAATAAGCTACAGTATTAAGCAGGGATGGTGGTGGTCCTGGGTATTTTAGGGCTGGGCTAGCAAAAAATACATTAAAACTAGACCAATAGTCAGTAGCTCATATATAAGGGCTAGCCAATTATTTTTGGAAAAACTAGACCTGTGGTCCAGCATAAAAAATTAACTTTTTACACCTCTGTAGAAACAAAACATAATGACAAATCAAAGACATCCAAGCCCCACTCACAAGAAATAATGTAATCAAGTTGCAATTTTTAATGCCTTTTTTTTTAATCAAGATAATATATTTTTCAGAAAATTCAAATATTTATTATACTGTACATAAGAAGGTAAACATTCAATAAAATACTCAGTAGAAAAGTTAGCATAAGTTTTTGAAATTACTGAGTTTTTAATTTACTTCAGAAAGTCTGTTTTAGTTAATATTGCACATGGAATGTACTCAATCAATAAACTGAACGTTATCATTAGGCCACGTAAAATAAAATAATTGGTTAGCATCCTTTTGGTATCAAATTTCATGTGGTAGAGAGGAAGGTTTTTTTTTTCTCGTCTAAACATGAAAAACCAGCGTCAGAAGGAAAATTAGCAAAAAAAAAAGAAGAGGAAAACAACAGAGGCCAAAATTGGATACAAGAAATCATGTAATTCATCTACAGCAAGCAGATAAACATTGCCCATATATATTTTATTATTTTTCACTCGATATTTAGTCTATCTTTAAAATTTTATTTCGTGAAATATTGCACACAGGTAAGCGAACATGCTGTAGATTTAAACTCATGGGTGCAGCCATGTTTGTTGTCTTGTCTTGTCTCTGGTCACCACAGAGCGTTCCTCCTTGTTTATTTTTCGCGCTGTGGATGTCTACTTCCAAAGTGACGAAAGTACCAATGTGCTGATTGGCCAACCTGGCTTTATCTCTAATGAATGCACTACAAACATGACGTAAGCATCGGATCGGAGTTTATGCAGCCACAGAGTCTTTTCTTTTCCAGAGGTAGGGCAAGTTAGGCCTTGTTAATATAAACCTAATCCTGAATAAATCTTACTGCTTTGCATCGGCTACCGTGTATACAAATACAGTACACTCTATTTATACTACTACTACTACTAATAGGCCTTTTCTAGATAGAAGCTAGAAGGACTAGGCTAGCCTAGGCCACCATAGACGGGACGATGATGGAATGGAATTGCTGGGGAGAAGCCCAGCCGGCTAGCGTTTGGACGGATAGTAAACAAACCTAGGACTAGGCCTATATAAATTGCCTTCGGGAGATAGATTTTTTGAGTGTTTTGTAAAAAAAAAAAAAAAATCAGGTCGGGGGCTTTTCCGACGGTCGGGCGGGATGCTAACCAATTTATTTTATTTTTTTCGTGGCCTTATTTGGTTTTTTTTGTTAAAGTAAAATATTGATATTTGGTTGTCTAATTCCAGCCAACCATGATGTACGATGATGCCTATATGATTTAAGAGAGATTACAAAACCCTTAATTATTTATGAGGCAAGTTTTTGGTATTTAACAAAGTAAGAATTATAATGAACACAACACATCTCATAAAATAAAGAAACATTAAATAACAAGCTGCCATTTTGGCCTATAGGACTGTAGCGAGACCTTTGACCGAAACTATGAAAAATAAATATTAATAAATTTTAATAACTTATTCAGATACACAATGTATTTGATTTCACCTCCTCCATTTAGCTTAGTTCGTAGTGTCTAGTAATAATATTAATGGGTCATTATTAGGCCTAAATATTTAGCCTACTAGGGGCTAGCTAGACCCTAGCTTACAAGACTTTTACTAGAGACCTAGGCTACAGTAGGCCTACTACTACTACTATCTAGCACAGTACTACAGGCCTACTGCTACTAGCTAGCCGTACTAGCTAGGCTAGGCCTACTACTTTTTAAAGTACTTCACAAAAAATTCCAAAAATGTCACATTAATATTAATAAAATATTATTATCACTACTAAAGTATAGAAAAGTTTAATAGTTAAACAATGTCTTAGGCTACTGGGATACGCCTGTTGTTATGTAGGCCAGTCTACCTAGGCCCTAGGCTAGGTGCTGGCCCAGACTGGAAGATGTATGCCTCCTAGCTTGACCTGCCCACCTAACTGGGGTAGGCCTAGCTTCATTCGACAACGTATCTAATAATACTTCATTTTAAACTACTATTTGCCATTACTAGAGGTCTATGATATGTATTTAGCATTATGTGATTGACAAATGAACACTCAAGCAAAATTACCTGCATGGTTTCTTCCATTTTCCTAGTGTAAATGTACGCCTCTTCTCGACTTTGTCTGAAGTTTCAACCGTACCGTATACTGGACTGCCGACCATGTGCGAGTAGCTTTTGAGCGAAGCAAGAAAACGTTACTTCAACGACGACTGGATCCTGGATTTACGAATTACGTCATTACCTTGAATGACGTCATAAAATTCGTACCTTACAAAAGAGTATAGTATTAACAGCGTTACTAATGTTTAATTTATTACTCGATTTTTTGTACCCATTTACTGTAATAAACTTCATTTATGTATTCCAAAACATGAACTGGAATATCCATCATTATTTTTTTGGATTAAAAATAAACCTTTGTTGTGTTTTTTTTCTTCACATATGATTTTATATTAGAATCGATTGTTGTCAATTTTTTGTTTTCAGTTCCTAGGTTCATTTTATTCACCCAACGATATTACCGGAAGTAATCGTGTGAACGGTCACGGTCATCCCGGAAGTGAGTGATTAAATTTGTCTCGTTTCGTTCAATCACTACCATAAATAGAAATAACTTTTAAAATTCCAACTTAATTACACTTATTATTGGTGAGTCGGATTTTTCAATTTAAATACACTATTATTTAATAAATTAATGACAATTACGCTTTCTATTTAAGAGAATGATTATAATGTTTTGTTTGATCCTGGAATGCACGAGAGGAGGAGGGGCTAGGCCTAGCAAACCCAATCCAATCCCTGTCTCATTACCTGGAAGAGGCTCGGAAGAGGAGGGCCTAGCCTAGAACATCAGTTGAAATTGTCACATCTTCATAGTCGACTAAAATAAGTTCACTTTTAGTGTAGGTTCTTGTAGCCTTGTAGCCCGTTTTCCATTAGTTTTTATAGTTTCCCAGATCCCAGAAGGATTAGAATTTTGAAGTTATTAAAGCAGCTTATTATATTAATAAGTTACAGTATAGGCTAGGCCTAAGCCTATTGTGTTATAAATAAGAACTGGTAGCCGTTAAAAACAGTGCTGTGTGTGGGGTAAGTTTCAGAGAAGTTCCTGTTCATGAACGAATGATAGTGTATCTCAAAAAAGTAGTCCACTGTCAAGTGCCTTGATGCCATACTCTTAAGTTTTTTTTGGAACCAGTCAATTCGAGTGGATGCCACTTCAAGCGAATGCCAGTTCGAGCAGAAAAAGATTCACTTTGCGAACAGCAGCCTGTGCGAGTTATGTACGAATTACTTTAAAATTTCCTTTTTGAGCTAACAATTTGCTCAAGCTTTGTATGGGATGGGAGTCAGGGGAAAAGCCCTGGTGGGTTCCCAGGCCCGTATTTAGGGGGGTTCGTCCGACCCCCCCGCGGGAGATGGAGTTCCGTGAAAATTAGAATCGGAGGGTTCGCTAAACAAGGTATAAAAAAGTCTCGCCTTATTTAAAAAGCACTAAAAATGTATATTTATTTATACTGTAAAAGGGCCTGAGGCCTATCACACTGAATAAAGTCCCCATTTAGGGCAGAGGAGAAGAAGTATGTGGGTTTTGATAAGGAGTTCCGCATAGTCCCAAGCCAAACCCCCCCATTGAAATTCCTAAATACGGGCCTGGTTCCGCGTAAGAAGCAATATGTATTATCGTATTTGATTGATTTTTAGGTTTAGCAATTTACAATTAAACATACCTACATTATAAAAATAATGGTTTATCTTATCTTAGTCATTCGTAATTGTTACTCTTTCCACTCACTTTAAGGAAGTGGGTTTTTAACTATAGACGAATGGTAAATAGTGGGGAAAATTGATATCTCATAGACGAATGGTGAATAGTGCGGAAAATTGATATGTCTGACTGTACTGTTGAAAGTCTTGACATACTACACCAATAATTTGTGCACCTCTGACACCTAGATATATTATATAATTTAAATTTCTATGATGAATAACAATTAAAGTTACTCACAATTACAAATATAAATCGTAAATTTATGAATAGAAATTTACAGTTCACTATGTAATTCAATTACTGCACAACAGGGATGGGCATAGAAATCGGTCGGAGGGCCAAAGTGAATTTTTGATTTAACACTGAGGGCCACACCCAAACTTTGATGTTTCCATTGAGCTTCCAAAAACCTCCCAAGCACTTTTACCTCACTTTATTCTCAGTTTTAATTATTTACATATGATTGGTGGGGCTGTAAAAAACAAGGTGTTTTCTAGAAAATTTTGATTGGCGGGCTGCAAACATAGGGTTGCTAATTCATTGTCGCAGACCGCAAAAAAAATTCGCTGATGGGCCGCATGTGGCCCGCGGGCCGCCCTTTGCCCACCCGTGCTGTACAACAAATATAATTTGCTTTTTTAAATACAAAACCCCAAATGGAGACACAAACCATGAATTCTGAATGAAACGTGCGAAATTCAATAGTTAAAAAATATAAATATAAGTGCTTGTTAGTGGCCATCTGATAATCTGATTTGCCAAGACTGTAATTCAAACATGGAATAATTATCAAAAGTACCAAAAAACATTTCAGAACTTTAATAGTGCACACAGAATTTGTGCATTTAAAAACAAACGAAACTCCCGTTTCACTCACAAATACAAGAGTAGGGCGACAATAAATTCGCCCTTGTTAATAATTCGCACTAAATACAGTACATCCGCTCGAACTGGCATCCGCTCTAATTTTTTTTAAATTTGATATTTATTATCTTAATTAAAGAAAGGTTATTAAAAAGTTCCAAGTATCATTCATTAAGACGGTTGTTACAACAAGTACCAGTACTGTACAGTATAGAGACTGTCTCTTATACACATCTAAGAGTATAATTAACAGCGTTACTAATGTTTAATTTATTACTCGATTTTTTGTACCCATTTACTACACACTTATAATAAAATTTTATTTTTATTTTGAAATCCACAATTTCGGAATCGGAGGGTTCGCTAAACAAGGTATAAAAAGTCTCGCCTTATTTAAAGCACTAAAAATGTATATTTATTTATACTGTAAAAGGGCCTAAGGCCTATCACACTGAATAAAGTCCCCATTTAGGGCAGAGGAGAAGAAGTATGTGGGTTTTGATAAGGAGTTCCGCATAGTCCCAAGCCAAACCCCCCCATTGAAATTCCTAAATACGGGCCTGGTTCCGCGTAAGAAGCAATATGTATTATCGTATTTGATTGATTTTTAGGTTTAGCAATTTACAATTAAACATACCTACATTTATAAAAATAATGGTTTATCTTATCTTAGTCATTCGTAATTGTTACTCTTTCCACTCACCTTAAGGAAGTGGGTTTTTAACTATAGACGAATCTTAAATAGTGGGAAAAATTGATATGTCATAGACGAATTCTGAGTAGTGGGGAAAATTGATATGTCAGACTGTACTGCTGAAAGTCTTGACATACTACACCAATAATTTGTGCACCTCTGACACCTAGATATATTATATAATTTAAATTTCTATGATGAATAACGATTAAAGTTACTCACAATTACAAATATAAATCGCAAATTTATGAATAGAAATTTACAGTTCACTATGTAATTCAATTACTGCACAACAGGGGTGGGCATAAAAATCGGTCGGAGGGCCAAAGTGAATTTTTGATTTAACACTGAGGGCCGCACCCAAACTTTGATGTTTCCAGTGAGCTTCCAAAAACCTCCCAAGCACTTTTACCTCACTTTGTTCTCAGTTTTAATTATTTACATATGATTGGTGGGGCTGTAAAAAACAAGGTGTTGTCTAGACAATTTTGATTGGCGGGCTGCAAACATAGGGTTTTTAATTCATTGTCGCGGACCGCAAAAAAAATTCGCTGACGGGCCGCATGTGGCCCGCGGGCCGCACTTTGCCCACCTGTGCTGTACAACAAATATAATTTGCTTTTTTAAATACAAAACCCCAAATGGAGACACAAACCATGAATTCCGAATGAAACGTGCGAAATTCAATAGTTCAAAAATAAAAATATAAGTGCTTGTTAGTGGCCATCTGATAATATGATTTGCCAAGACTAATTCAAACATGGAATAATTATCAAAAGTACCAAAAAACATTTCAGAACTTTAATAGTGCACACAGAATTTTTACATTTAAAAACAAACGAAACTCCCGTTTCACTCACAAATACAAGAGTAGGGCGACAATAAATTCGCCCTTGTTAATAATTCGCACTAAATACAGTACATCCGCTCGAACTGGCATCCGCTCTAATTTTTTTTAAATTTGATATTTATTATCTTAATTAAAGAAAGGTTATTAAAAAGTTCCAAGTATCATTCATTAAGACGGCTGTTACAACAAGTACCAGTACAGTATAGAGATAATCATCCACAGGTTATTGGGACGGATTTAGGGACCCCCCCCCCCTCCACCTTTGAAAAATAAAAAATTTAAAAAAAAATTTAAAAAAAAATTATTGATTGCCCATAATGAATCAGAGGTTATTCCGGGCATCCAGAAAACAAACATTTCCCAGGGACATAACTTTTATTCCCAATACAAAAAAGTCCTGTAGTAATTCCACATGCTTAACATGACCAACCATTGTAAAAACAGTTAGGGTTTGTTGATTTATACAGTTATGTTTTCGTATCTTAGGCCGTGTTCCCGCAACACTTATTATCTGATAAATGGCCATTTCTTTTTTTTTTTCGCTCCAGAAACGGGTCCCGAATTAGCTGATAAATTTTTGTATGAGAATCAGATAATTTATTGGAAAAAAATCCAAATGCGAAAATAAATAAACTTTGACTGGTCATTAAAAGATTTATTCTGGGTAGGCCAAGGCCTAGGGGCCTACTGTAGGCCTAGTATTTTAAACACTTGATAATAAAAAAGTAAATTTTCCATGCTTATTAGATACTGTATAAAAACAAAGCTTGAATTGGCTGCGTTCGTCGTCGACAGTGATGGCTAGACCTGGTGGCCTAGGTCTATCCCTGCCTGTCATCATTTATTGTACCATAAAGCACATTAAACTGAGCTGGCATTCGCTACCGTTTTCTTTTCAATCCCTATATATAGGCCCATATAGAAGTCAAACAAACACCATTGTGACAGTAAATTTCCCAGGGTGCAATAGTACTGAATAATTTCCAGTCTTGGCCTACAGTAGGCCTATCCATCTCGCCCAAAATAAAGGTCACCTACTAGGTCAACAAACGGATGTTTTGATGTTGAACACATTGCATTTTTGTCCATAAATTTACTTATGGAATAACAAATTTGGAGGGGATTTTAAGATAATTTATCGCAGAAATTAGAGAAAGTACAAGAGCTGCAGAAACACAGCCTTAGGTCTATATTTTATTCAAATTAGCTACTTGACTTATTTCTTTACTGAAGCCGATGGTATTATTTACTAACTGTGTAGCCACTCCATAAAACAAATAGGTCTAAATAATTCTTCCTTTAAAAAATTACTTTCAATTAAATAGTAATTACATAATAGTTTGAATGAAAACAGTCATATTCATTAATAATGGTAGGTTAATAAAATCTTTAATACTATTATATTGTTTTCAGTTTCATTATTATTGTTAAAGGGAACTACAGTAATTCATTGAAAGTAGTTTCAGAAGGAAGTACAGTATACAGTATTGACAAGCCCTTTAGAAATGTTAATAAATTTAGAGGATAAACACCAAGAAAAAAATACATTATTAAAGTATTGAAAATTTACTACAAATTTTACATTTCAATTTCCATAAAGTTTGTGTTTAAATCATTGAAATAAAAATGGCAAACTTTAAGCACAGTGATTGCTGAAATCTACAATGCTTATCAACCTGCATGCATGTTGTCTAAAAAATTAATGAATTAAAGGCATACCCTGTATAGGAAGTCACAATGTAAACTATCCTTTTGTAAAGCCAGATGAAAACACCCAACATTGTGCACCCCACGGCCCACCCCATTTTAATTATGGTATAGTCCATTTTGGGTGTTTTTGTCTTGGGTGGTGTTTGTCTAGGTGGTTATTATCCTGGGTGGTTTTTGTCTGATTTCCTAAATGTCTAAAGTATTAGTGTAATTAATTGAAATTATAAGTTTTTTTTATATGTGATTTTGTTGGAACATCATCATGGAAATGCAATTGTAATTGAGAAAATGTATCATAAATTGTAATTGTAATGGGAAAAAATGAAAATTATAATTGTAGTTAGAAAAATAGAGTAATGGCAATTTGTAATTGATTACATTTTCACAGTATTTGACCCGATGCCTGTTGTCAAGTAAACATATAGGCCTAGAGAAATGATATGCAAATGATTATTCATTCTCTTTTGTTTGTAGAGTCGTCATTCATTATTGAATACAGACAGCATCGCAATGGGTTCGCGATATGATGATGAGCCACGCTGTGGTATTTCATGTCTGAAATATGTGCTCTTCATTTTCAACTTCTTCTTATGGGTAAGTCATTGTTTTTTTTTCTCTTGGGTGTTTATTGTGTTGTTTTGATATCAGTGTATTTTACCCCAAATCCTGTTCACACCCTACACATTCTTTAACCTGTTCTGTTTTGAATCCATTAAACACAGAACAGATTCATTTATTGTTCGCAACTTTAAAATATGTGTAATTTAAAATATTAAATATTCTTTGAATATCCTACGACAGGGCGTGTGAAAAGGTTGAGAAAATTTCCCCTGACCCACTACTGATCATGGGAAATATTAGTTACCCCTCCCTATACCATTGTAAATAAGAGTGAATTGTATGTTTATATAATGTATGTCACTATGATATCGTACTTAAAGTGATACTAAAAAAAGTATTCTAATGTATACATTTTTTGAAATAAATCCAATGAAATCCAATGGTTATTCTCATTTTATATAGTGTGGTGGTGCTGCGGTCACTGGCGTTGGCATCTGGACACTTGTTGATAAGTACGACTACACAGGTGTCATGTGTAGCAACACATACTCCGCTGCCACGTATATCCTCCTCATCTCTGGCTTGCTTATCATCTTTGTTGCCACCATGGGATGTTGTGGTGCTGTACAGGAGCAGAAATGTTGTCTTCTTATCGTAAGTATTCCTTTATTCATATAATATAATGCCTGATATATTCTAATAATCACTTATTGACTGCTATAGTTATTTATTTATGCATTATATTTTAATCGTTTACCGCTTAAGATTAAAAAATTTACTTACTTGTTATTGTATTATTGGATACATATAGATATTGTGTAAATTAAATTATTGTTTTACAGTATACCAGAGCATCACGTTATTTTTACTAGTTAAACCAAATAATGGAACATGTATGATACACTTGCAAAATGTAACAGTTTATGATACACTTGCAAAATGTAACAGTAATATTGATAGAGGCAAACTAGATTACTAGTATAGAGTAATATTTATTGTATTCATTAAAGCAATGTAACCTTGTCTACCTTTTCATAATATAATAGTTTTGTTTTATTTATCTTTCAGTATTTCCTTCTGATATTCTTTATATTTATGATGGAGCTAATAGCAGGCATTGTAGCGTATTCTTACAGAGGAAAGGTACAGTAATTTACTTTCTAGTTTCATAGTTAAAATATAAAATACTGCCAATGATAATTTTATTTGTAGTATTAGTAAAACTTTATTTATTCACAAAGTACAAATCAACAAATACAATGCTGTTTTCGTTATGGCCATTTTTGGTTTTTATTTATTTTTAACCAACTGATAACAATTTATATATAGAATTTTAGATATTTAGAATTTAGTTGCTACTTGTGATTAAAATTTAGAATTTTTTTTTTTTTTTTTTTTTTTGTAAAAAATAATTATATTTTTATAAATTTTAAGAAATTCTACTTAATATGAATGAATTTTTGACATTTAGAAATTGCCACTTCTTGTGATTAGGATTTTTATAAAAAAATTTTTAAATAATAATAATGGATAACAGATAATTTTTGTATGTATAATGATAATGATATTCTTAATTTTAATCGGCTGGTTTTTTTTGTTTTTTTTCATGACTGCTTTTTTATTATGCCTGTTTGTGTTTTATTTATATTGTTTGGTTTGCTGCTATAACACATGTCAATTATTATTATTTTAATAATAATAATATTAATAATAGTAATAACAATTATGATAATGAGAAATAGTAATAAAGACCCAGTGTGTAAATGATGAGTGGTGCATTCCCAAATTAAGCCAGTCAATGGCCTGTATATATTAAATACAGCTGTGCGTGTTGTAGCTTCTTTCTAGGCCTAAAAGTTAATAATGTTTTGTTCTTTCACATTCCTTTCTATGGCTATTAGATTGACATGGAACTACAGAACTGCTTGAATGAATCTCTGGTGATGAAATACGGCCAGCCTGGATTTGAGAAACTTACTCAATCTTTTGATGCTATGCAGGGATACGTAAGTTGTTTATTTTCAAGAGAATGCAAAATATACTCTTTTTTTTCTGTGACCCCCAAAAGTGGCATATCTAGGGGATTCATTGTGAAACATCCCCAGACGCGGATCCAGTAATGGCATGTGGGAACATACCCCCACCCTGTTTTACCACTAAATTTTTAAAATTTCAACGCATATCAATGTCATGTGCTCTTACTTATCTATTTTGAAACTGCTGTGGCACCCCCCCTCAACATATAAAAAATTCTGGATCTGCCCCTGCCCCACCCCGAAAAAAGCTTGTACCTCCAGTGGCCACTCCTTCCCCTACTGGAAATGTTTGAAGCAAAAAGGATATGCTTATATTGTGAGCTAGCACACCCTCAAATAATTATCAAACCCCCACACTTTATCTTCGCGCTTCAAACAGCCTCCCCCCTCCTCCCGCCATTTCTAGAGTCGTACATATATACGCCGCTTGACCTCAGCCTGAGTAAATAATTGTATTATTACTTTTTCCTAAACACTGATTTTTTTTGTATTTTTCTTTTACCATTAGTTCAATTGCTGTGGTGCAGGCTCTTATAAAGATTGGGATCACAGCTTGTGGAAACAAAACCAAGAAGGCGTCAACAAAGTACCTGACAGCTGCTGTAAAACAGAAACACTTCACTGTGGAGTCAGAGATCACCCTTCAAATATCTACAGAAGAGTAAATATCACATCATTAATATTGCATCATTAATATATTAATTGATTATTTAATTAATATCACATCATTAACATATTTTTCTTATTCTCATCAGGAGTCATCCATAAAAAATCAAAAAAGTGACACTTAAAAAAATTACACAAAGAAATGATTTTTTTATTTTGAGGCCATCATTTTGTCTTTTGTGCGAAAAGCGGTGCTTTTTTTAAAATCTTGTATATTAATAATGTTTGCATTTAATTTTAATTCAGACATTTATAATCATAATCGTTAACTTTGCTATGGTGTTATTTGCTTTCTGTCGTGTGTTATAAACAGTACTGAAATATTAAAGCGAATTCACCGGGCTAAGTACGTGCAACAACACCTGTTCAACTTTCAATCAGTTGAACAGGTCTTGTCGCATGTGCTGAGCTCGCTCGGTGAATTCGCTTTGAATAATTCATCACTCTTCAGACGCGCCCACATGTTCAGCACGAATAGGCATGTTTTGGCCCTATCCAGCGCAAGGCAGTTAATTAATAATTAAAGTAACCGTGGGAACGTGTACTTCTACGGTTATTTTCAGTGCAGGTATTTTGCTGTAGAGTACATTATAAAAGTTGTAGGCCTACAACTAAGGCCTAATAATAATAGACCTAAATATTAAGACTAATGTTGGGCTTAATGTTAATGAATAATAATAAATAATACAGTATAGTATAATGATGTGTTGAGAATAGAGCATAACCATTAAATTAATAATATAGTAATCATTCGTTCATACAACTTTATAAACACCTACATATATATGAAATGTGATGCATTAACGTCTCCGCAACGTACACCCATCGAAGGCTATACTGTATTGTTTTACTGATACGGTACATGTCAACTTAGCAACAGCTGTTCGCTGAACAACCCTGGGCTGGCGGCAACCCAACCTGCGACGCTACAAAAGAACCGAGTATTCCTGCGCGCCGGTACCACAAAATACACTGTCACGTTTAAGCAAAGATAAGACCATTGCACAAGCACATTTATGTTGCCAAGTGGAGAATTCACTGTAGATGATCACCCCTGCCTTACTTTACCGGTACTTCCCCATACTCTGGGAATTCCTTTGCTTACCATCAAATTTTACACGTGTGAGGAAAACTTAATTTTTAAAAGAAAAAGAGACAGGTCCATCGCCATCGAATTAGTGTTTGATAAAACTTAATATGCACTAAATATTGTGTCCTTGAAATTCGCAAAATTTGACCTTGAATGTCCTGGAATTGTCCTGGAAATTTGCTTGTTTAAAAACATACGAACCCTGTCTGTCTCTCTCTAGCAATATGTTTATACTCATAAAAATCATGAAAAAAATAATAACTCCTTAACATTTTTTACACATGGTGACTATACATTTTAAATTTTTCTTCTGAATGAAAAGGACATTTATACAGTACACCATTACTGATCTACTCTCTGAGGGTTTTTGATACTCAGATCGTGCTGTTAACAAAGGTTTTTCGGTATCAATTGATAAACATATGTGTGTCATGTACAGTGATCCAAGAAATTTTAGAAAGTTGAGACCTGATTTGAGACAAAACTACCCTAGGGGGTCCGGGGCATGCTCCCTTGAATGTTTTGTTTTCTTGACGCCCGAAAATAACCTCTGGTGCGTTTCGGCCGATCAGTTATTGCTTTTTCTTCATCTCTTTCTTTTGTTTAACCCCTCTAATTCTGCCCATTGACGTTTCACATAGTAAAAACTTTCCTTTAATCCACCTTTTGAAAAAGAATTATAAGTCGTATAGCATAGTACCCATCTTTTGTCAAATTTCAATCATAAACTTAGGAGTCAGCAGTATCTATCCTGGATAAACCAACTATTGTATTGCCATTTTTCAAAGAAATAAGGACAAACAAATGGGTGTTGTGAAGTCCTAAGATGAACATTCTGTTTTTATTGTGGGGTGTTTATTTAAGGAAAATGGCAATAATTTTTAATCCAAGTAAGTATCTTGCTCATAGACTGGATTACTGATTTATTTCCAATTTTATTATTTTATGTTAAAACTCTACAGAAAGTTCAATAATTTGTTGAACTTTCTCTTTAATAATTTCTTTCACTTTTGAGTTTTGAATATTTAATTAATTATTTTAATTAATAGCTTTCATAAGAATTGTTCTGCAACCACTACTATTCTTCTCTTACAGGGGTGTAACGATGGCCTTGGGGACTACATTGGTAACCAGTTACTTGTTATTGGCCTTGTCTGCCTTGGTGTCTGTGTTTTTCAGGTGAGTGTAGTATAACACACCATTTGTACAGGAAGGTTTTCATTCGTTGTCTGTCATTTATGCATTGAGAGAAGTAAAATTATGAATTCTGAAAAATATTGTCATTTTATTGGTATCATTAGTAAAACATTGTGGGAGTCATTGGCACAACGTTTGTGGTTCATACTCTCAATCTTGAGGTTGCTGGTTAAAATCCTTTTTTTTTGCTTCTGTCTTTATGCAAGGCACTTCAATGTTGAAGTCTCTCTCTATCTAGGAGTATAAATATAAACTTGGTATTATTATTGTAGCATTGAACGCAATACAAATAATAAACATTTTATGTGTGCAATGGGAAGAATACTTTCATGAGTTGAAAGATTGACTGTTCCATTCAATGAGGCAAAGTGGGGTTGAATGGAACACTCAATCTTTCAACAAATGAAATTATTATTTCCATTGTGTGAATAAAAAACATGCATTATTCGTTTTATATTGCACCTAGAATTGATCCTTGTCATTTGATATTTTATGAAAGAACATCTGCCTTTTTTCTGAATGGAACAGGCCTTCGTCTTTTAACCAATGAAAAGATTGTATTAGGTTGAGGCGTGCAATGAACCAAAATTGATAAAACAAAAAATGCACAGATGGAACTAAAAATGCAATGATGGAACTTAATTTTCATGATGAGTGACAAAATAGTGTAAATAATCAATGTCACATAATATGAAATATGCCAATCAAATGACAATGATCCATTTAGTTGTGTTACAATATCTGTTGCATGTATTATGTATGGGCAAATCCAGCTAGTCTATTATGGATTCAGTGGCAAGGAATAAAAGTAACTTTTTTTGTATCATATTTCCGTATTCTACTTGGGGTGAAATAAAAAAAAATAAAAAAATAAAAAAAATAAAACATTACAAATGTTTTCTTGTTCTTGCAGATATTTGGATTAATATTTTCAATGTGTCTACTTTGTCACCTGAAACATGAGGATACTGAAATATACTAAGAAGAGAGAAAAAAGAAGAACCAAAACTAAATCTGAAATTAATGGTATGATAATGTTACAGGTGATTGCAGCTCAACAGGTGTGATATTACCATAAGACTACCTGGAAATCAATTAACCAAATTTATAAAATAAATCAATGTTTTGCACTATATTCAAACCAAAGAGGTTGATTTTTCTTAGTACAACCAACTAATACAATGTACAGTAACTAGCTGGCTAGGAAATATCTCAATATCCTAAGCCGAGTAAACTGTAGTAATGTTAGGCCTACAGGTAATAGGCCTAGCAATCGTAGGACTAGCAAACCCACGCCTAGCAAACCTATGCCTAGCAGACGTAGGCTTAGCAATGCTTGCCATACAAATTATGTAAAATCATAGAATCACCAGTTTATCCTAATTCAAACGTTGCATTCAAGGTAAACAAGAGAGTTTACAAGTTGACTATTTTATGTTTGTATTCAACTGAAGAGAATGGTTTCTTTAATTTTTTCTAAAGATTGATTTCTTTTTAAAACACCATGATAAAAATTTTTTTCTACTTGTTTTCTTTTTTTCATTTTGAAGGCAACCACCTTTTTTCTACTTTGTGAGGTGTTCGTTTATCATATTTTAAAATAATTGTGTGTACAAAAATAACATTTTTTACTTTACAGTTTTAAAAGTTCGCCCATACCATCAATCACTTTTCCTATGTACACAATTTTTCATATTATTTTAAAATTACTTCATAAATTTGTATTTTTGTGATTTCATTTTATATTATGTTTCAATTCAATTTTCTTACTGATTATAAAAAAATTTGTACCCTTAATTGTTGTATTCTATAATTACCTCATGATTTGTGGTGATCCTATTTGAAATGACGTTATGCAAAATATTCACCTAACTACTATAAATACCTGAAACCTTGTTTCCAAAAAATCGCCAAACGCTAATTATACCGATAGCTGTCTGGTTGATCATTTGAGTCAGGGAATGTATTGTGCATTGCATTGGGAACAGATATGCAGTGTAGCGAATGCTGTGAAAACACTGTAGCACAGTGTCTGAACGATTTTATGGAAACCATGCTTACTAAAATATTGAAATAGGCATATTGCCAAATCATGCATTGACAGTAGGTATACATGTAGATACATTACAAGAGACCAAATAATTGGTATGAAAAGGAATTTACAAATCATCTTGTATTTTTGTTTTTGCTATGTGTGTGTGTGTGTGTGTGTGTGTACTCTCTCATTTTAGAACCTTTTTTTAAAGAATTTTTGTATTTGGTTGAATTCAATTCAAGATTTATTCAACCCCCAAAAAAATGTGGACAAGGAATCTCAATAATAGTAATAATTCTTTATTTGCCCTCACTCAACTTAAAAGTAATTTGGTAGAAAAAGCAACATTATTTAAGAAAATTAATAAATTAATATTTGTTTTTTGAGAATATTATCAAATAGTTTTGAGAATGATCAATTCTTGTGAATATACCATATAATGTCAAAATGTTTGATACCAAAACAAATTTTCTTCCTTGATAAAGTTGTATTATAGTATTTATGATATTGATAATTTATGATAATAATGTAGTGTGCAGGCTAGTTATTTATTTCACTAGTGTTGATTAATATAATTATACAATTTTATTGTCAATAAGGTGTTTTTTAATCAATTATTATACATATACCATCAAAACAAATTATTTACATTTCCTTATTAACTACAGTATTATAATCTTTTAAATTAATTGTCTTAATATGTATAAAACATACATACTGAATATTATATACATATCACATACAGTTTTTTGAAGATTTACTATAGAGTAATGTTTTACAGAAGTCTTATAGGGGTGTCCTCGGAACAGTTGTTGGCTGCAGTGTTTTAATAAAGATATACATTACCTTGTTTCGTGGCAGAAAATGTGTCCCCTTAGTAGTGGCGTCCCCTTAATAGGTATGTCCCAAAGAAAGGGTTCTGTTGTAGTTGAAAATTCACACCTAGTCCCCATTTCTTAATCATCAAGCCCCATCAGTTAACTTTCACCCGTCCACCCCCCCCCCCAACCCATGTCAATATTCCTATATATACCACTGAACTTAAATTATCATGACAGGAAGACTTGTCAAACTTATTAGTTAGCTACCTTTGTAGCTTTAAAAATCGATATATATTACATCATGTAGTTTGTATTGTGTAGATAATTTTATACGAAATAAACACAGTTTAACTGGAATGTTTTTGCACATTTGACTAATATGTGTATGTTATTGTTGCATAAGGCTATTCTGTAAAAACCTTATCTCGAAAAGAGAAGCCCATCTAAGGCTCTTTTAAATGAGAAGCCTTCATTCAAAGTTTTACGTTGTATAAAAATTGAAGTACATAGGATCGAGTTTATTTTATCCGAAGGAAATATGTTTGCTACTGAGTGGTCTGTTGTAAGCCTATAACTCAACTTTTAATACTTCAACTTTATAATACATAATTTTTTATGTTTTTGTATTGAATTTTATTGAATAGTTTATTTTGCACTGTAAGTGTAGCAGATGCTCATAACAACGGAAACACAATTAAGAAGTCAATTCAAACTGAGGACATCATAAATTGTGTATTTTTTATTTCAAGCGATAAACCTTTGCCTTTTAGCTCAGCGGTCATGCATTTTATCCACCATAATTTTGGCTCTCCTTATAACAGACTTTGCCAACTATTGAGACGTTTCTATTTGTTCAGCCTGTGAAACTCTTTTTTTCTTTATAAACGTACATATAGACCTATGAAATCCAATAGATACTATAAAATGATTAACATCGTATTATCGGTTATATGCTTAACATTCCAACGTAGAAATACAGTTTTGCCATTTGACATACAATAAATTTTTCTTGATATTCCTCAAGGTTTTCTTTTTCTCTGATATTTATCTATAAATTCATTTATAAAACTCCAAATAAATATAGTAGTATGATATCAAATTAATACATTCCTCCTATTTATTAACTACTGAAATATACCAGTATATACTTTTACCATTAACTGTGACAAATATAACAAGGAATTTATATATTTATATATGTATTTATATATATATATATGTATTTATATATATATATATATATATATATATATATAAACAAACCTCAGGCTTACAAATTAATTTATTGTTTATATATATATATATATATATATATATATAAACAAACCTCAGGCTTACAAATTAATTTATTGTTTAAATAAAAGTATGCAAGAACGAATGTTTTTTTAATATTCATTCACCAAACAATATCTTCTTATGTGCTATAACTGAATACTGTACTTTATTCAATTTCTGTGTATAGTTTCTTTATAGTTACATTTATATTTTGCACATACTGATATTTCACATCATTATTTGATAATTCATATTATTCAAATTATTTTATATTTAGAAGTAAAATACAAAGTATATGAATTTAATATACGTGCATACACATTTTTCTTCCTGTGTTGCATTCTACTGAAAATTTATTCTATAATCTAAAAATATTTGTAGGGGTTAAAACATAATTTTATAACACTGCAACATTATTTTAACTAGTTTGAGCGTTTATAGCCAAATACATTTCAATACTTAAACAGTCGCCATACCATACAGTCATATTTCATTTCTAAACTTATGAAGTTAGCCAGCTAATTTGAATATATAAACTGTAACACCGGATAAGTTAATTAAGCTGTTTATTACAAAGGCCATTTTAAAACCAATCGATTCGGTTAAGTAAATACAATTTATAATTATAAATTTAATTTTGTTGTTACAATTATTATTATTATTATTATTATTATTATTAATATTGATGATGTCATTAGTATTTTATCATTTTGAGCAAGTTAATGTTATACACACTGCTGTTGTTGGTTATAGCTTACAAACCCACTGCTACATCCTTCGGTAGAAACAGTAAGCGACGATCAAGCTAATAAGCTGCAAGAAATAATATGCATACCATTATTATAACAAGAATATTGAATCTAGCAGAACTAATTATATTGGATCCTTCATTTAGAGTTAAATCCTGAACCCTTGCTTTGCTTCAGCTTACCCTCCACTCCCAAATATATGAAACCGCAACATTTTACAGCAAACTATTTGAGGTACAGTGTGTAACATTAAAAAAAAAAACCAGGAAAGGAAAAACTAGTGTCCAGATTGTCCCTTCTGCAGCGTAGAGGCAGCGTCACTCACAATAAATGTATGATACTTTTATGCAGTACTGTTATAAATGTGGAGACTTTTTCCAAGAGAATTAAATTATTAAACACGAAACGTTTCAATAGCATTCGTGTACGTTGTGCTAGGTTATGTCAGAACATAACGTTGACATAACGTTGCATGAACGTTTGCAACGTTATTTAGTTGGGAGTCACGTTATAATTACGCATTTATGGTTCTAAATTTGAAGACCAATTCGCAACGTTATTATAACGGAAGATTGTTAGCTGACGCTCTCCAGCTATAATTCAGTTATTCCTGATTTCTATGCGTTTAACTGTTTTCATATCAACATTGACCCATGGTAATCATTCAGAAGCATATTCATATGCCTGACATGTTAACATTATGTATTTAGAAACAAGCAATGAACATTGCTTGAACATTGCTTTAATGTTGAGTGAAACATTGATAAAAATGCAAGAGAATAACTGTTTTATTCTCCAATTTTATGGTGTGGGCTATTATCAAATGGTTAAGATCTACTAGCAATTTATATGAAAATGTCCATAGTAAGAATATCGTAAAACCTAAAATTGAAGCCAGTGGGCTTAATCTCGAGATGAAGCCCATCTCGAATTGAAGCCCTCCTCGTTAGTTTGCAAAATTAGCCTCGAAAAGGAGCCATGGGCTTCTTTTCAAAATAGCATAGGCTTCTTTCGAGATAGTACAGTACATACACTGTACATGAATTTCAGAAAACAAAATAAATTAATACAAGCTTGGTTTATAAAGCAGTTTAGGTGATTTAATGCCAGTTACCCCCCCCCCCTTTCCCCTTTTTTTTTTTACTTTGCAAAAGTAGCCTCGAAAAGAAGCCCATTTAAAAAAAAAAAGCCCATCAAAAGTTCGCAAAAAAGAAGTCCAGGGCTTCAATACGAGGTTTTACGGTATTAATACAAAAGTCTTACCACTAAAAATGCATGAAGAATACCAACTATCGCTAAAGGTACTGCGTACTTGTCCCCCTGCAGCTTTACAGCATCAAAACATCCCTGAAAAAACATTTGTATAAAATTGTTAATCTATATGGG